AGAAAGTGCGGCTCTGGGACACAGCCACGGGCACGCTGCAGCAAACGCTTGACGACAATGCTACCTATTCTGTTAACTCAGTGGCCTTCTCACCTAACGGGCGGCTGCTGGCGTCGGCTGACGAGAAAGTGCGGCTCTGGGACCCGGTCACAGGCGTGCAGCAGCAGTTCCTCGAGGGCCATTCAGACGATATTTTCTCAGTAGCCTTCTCGCCTGATGGTCGGCTGCTGGCGTCTGGCTCTCATGACGGTACAATACGGCTCTGGGACCCGACCATGGTCGCCCCACAGTCAGCACGCGAGAGCCATGGATGTCCTGTCACTTCAGTAATATTCTCACCTGACGGCCAGCTGCTGGTATCTACGTGTGGAAATAGGACTATGGGGGTTTGGGACTCTGCCACAGGTGCGCTGCTGCAGATAAAAGAATATTTGCGTCCTGTTAAGGAAGTAGCCTGCTCGTTTGACGGCCAACTGCTAGCGTTTAACACTGATTGGGGGGAACTGACACTCTGGGACATGACTACCAACGTCATACAAGACCTTTATTCAGATCACACTCGGTCATTAACCTTCTCGCCTGACGGCCAGCTACTGGCAACACTTTCTTGGAGCGAAGTACTGGTCTGGGACTCGGCCACGGGCACTTTACAGCAGAGACTTGAAACCCATTCGAATTCTGCTATTTCAGTGGTCTTCTCGCCTGATTGCCAACTCCTAGCTTCGGTCTCTGCCAATCAAACTGCGCAGCTCTGGGACCTAGCCACCGGTACAATGCAGCAGGTAATTCCTATCAACGGGAAAACCACATGCTTCGAGTTCTTTACAGACGGGCTGCATCCAGAAGCTAACTCATGCTTACTTGATATTGAGCCTAATGGTGATGAACCTGCTTCTAATATAGATCCAAAGACTCTAGAGATCTCCATCGAGCACGAACAGTGGATCAAAGTTAACGGCGAAATATTACTTTGGCTTCCTCCGGAGTATCGGGCTACTAGCTCCACGATTCACGGTAATACAATAGCCATTGGTCACGGGACGGGTCGGGTCTCCTTTCTCGGATTCTATATATACGATGAGTCACTTTGATATTGTGATTCTCTGAAGTGATGAATGCAATTTCGGGAATTGTCTGTTTCTATTGCACAAGATATGATATCTCATTTTGTATTTCTTCGCAGAGTTAGCACTGTGCTGAAAATCAAAGACTCGAAAATCAACCAACCCGCAAGAAAAGAGTGGCGATAAACAACACCCCGGCTCGCGGAGTTGTTTCTTGGGCGAATTTGAAGGTCCCCTCTGTGAGGCGGCGAGCGCGGAGAATTGGTCCATTCAACTAGGGGAACTAAGCAAGAGAGGGGAAGAAGAAGAAGAAGAGAGGGCGCCTGAACCTCGCAGTTCCAGCCAAAGGTATCCTCAACATCCCCAGACTGAATTCCCCGAAGTGTCTGCAGCAGCTGTACACTCCTCCACCCCCCCTTCCCCCAGATCCCGAGACGAGTGGCATCAGGTGCCCAATTTGAACGAAGATCAGTGCAAGTTCACCCGTGGTGTCTCGAGTCTAGCCTCTGTGACCCCCATTCCATCTTCTCCGCGTGCGATTTCGACTTCGATCCGCAAAAAGATATGAAATGATAGAATTTCTGGACGATGGGCACGATCCATAGCCTGTGAATCGATGGTAGGGTTCCAGTCGGAGTCGTAGAAAATAACTGTATCGGCGGTTGTAAAGTTGATACCGAGACCACCAGCACGAGTGGAAAGCAAGAACACGAAGATTTCAGGGTTCGACTGGAAGTCGGCAACTGTGTCGCGACGGTCTTCCAGCTTGGTGCTTCCGTCTAGTCGACAGGTAACCCGGTCCCCTCGCGACTGCATTGTGATTTTCCCCACGGGAACCAATGCCGCCGCGGTGCCTGCAGCAATCACCTCATCGAACTCCGGTAGTTCCTCGTAGGCAACCCGTCTCTTCGCAACCTGGTAGCCAAGGGAGCGTGCAATCTCCAACACCGACGCCGCAGTAACCGAGTCGATCGCATTCTCACTATCGGAAGGGATCTGCTGGGAGAATTCAGGAGGGTTGGGTGCCCGGGTTTGGGTGTGGATGTTTGATTCCTTAGGCACCTAATGTTGAGAGTACTTATAGTGCCTATACATCAGGTACTCCTCCATCAGATCGATCAGGCATTGGAGATCTGTTTGCAATGTCAAGAATAAGTTTGTCGCTCGTTGTTGGGAGGGAAAGTAGCAAACAAGGCTTACATACCCTGTATGGCGACGTAACTTGAGACACTTATGCAGTGAGATAGTTGTCGGGGTGATGAGACTTTCATGACAGCTTTCAGCAGGTCCGATTGAAGCTTCGGGAATAGATAACTTCCGCAACCTAGACATTCAGAAGAAATTGAAAGAAAACGACTGTGTTTTGCTTGAAGGCTTTGGGTGATGGGGAAGAAGGGAGAGCGGAGACATAGGAGAAAGAGATGGGGGTAGGGGAATGAAAAACTGAGAAGTGGGCGCGGGGCTATGATAAGCATATGTTAAGAAAGAGAAGAGAAGAAAGAGAAGGGGAAAGGTTGGTGGGAAAAGGAAAAGAGAAGAGGATAACAAGATGGAGAGAAAAGGAAGTGAAGAGGAACTGAAAGGTATGAGAAACAGAATCGAGTAGGAAGATGAGAGAAAGGGAAAAAGAAATAAGAGAGAAAAGGGTGAAAAGAGGAAAAAGAAAGAGTATCTACTTAAAACAACAAGACTCTATATCCTATCTATAAACAAGATAATTGATTTTGTAAGACCCAATAACTAATACGATCATTGAAGTAAAGATAAAGTAAAACATACCTAGTCAGCCCTGAACGCAAACAAAAGTCGTTAAGAGATACCAAGTACCCATTCTAATGGGGAGCCATATCACTCCAACCACTGTTCGATCACTCTCAATGCCATTCCCTCCGCTGAATGATTTTGTGTGTTCCAAGTTTCGAGGTATGAAGAGGGAATGTGTAGAACAATGGCCAACATCCCGATACACATGTCTCCGCACTTCCAAAGTTATATCCTACAGCGTACGAAACCCAATTTCAAGGCAAGTCAGATCCAATATCATATAACTCAATGCGTAGACTTGAACAGCATTTATTGTGCTGATATGGAATAATCTCTCTTTTCGTTTGTTAGGCTTTGGTTCTGCGGAAGGTATCAAAAATTGCTGTGATAATAACGAGCCCGTACTCAACGAGCCATTGCATAACGTACTTAGATAGGTTCTAGTTGCGATTTGTTGATATGTCCATCCGTAACAGCCTAGAACAGATGTCGCATCCAGTTACGACCATCCTATATCAAAGATATGCGTGCAGAATAGGAACGGGAAATTATATCCTAATCGGGAAATAAAGTGGGGGAGGGGGCTGCATTGGGTGCTACTATGGCGAACTGTATTGTATGGGGACATAGCACTTGGACCTCTCCCTCTGAACTATATCAAGTTCGACGGTTAACCACGTAGCAGAGAATAAGAAGTTGAACCATTCAACGCATCCATTTCAGTCGCATATACTGAAGTATGGAGTCGATCAACAACATCCTCTTTTCTCCCAGCTCCATTCTAGTGGCCTTGGTGACTGTGGCCATTTTGATCAATAAAGCATGGCCTCGCGTCACTAGATCAAAACAAAACAACAAAGTCGCTGGATATACTTCAGATCCAACCAGCACTCAGGGTCTGAGTGTTTCAAAGGAGACCGAGATACCCGAAGGATGGATGACCGATAGTGCCATCTTCGAGCTCGAACGCCGCGGGTTGTTCAGTCAAGTAATATTGATCGTCGAGAATTTGCGAAATACATCTAACGGGAGATTTAGACATGGATGTACCTTGCTCACAGTGCGCAATTCACCAAGCCTGGCATGTACCAATCATTTGACATGGCTGGCTTTCCAGTCTTTGTGATTCGTGGTAAAGATGGGAAGATCCGCGCGTTCCACAACGTTTGTCGCCATCGTGCCTACACGATCACCAGAAAAGAGACAGGTGCATCGACTGTTCTTGGTTGTAGGTATCATGGATGGAGCTACGATACAACAGGTCGGCTCGTCAAGGCTCCTCAATTTGATAACGTGCCGGGATTCGACAAGTCGCAAAACAGCTTGTTCGAAATCCACGCACATACCACTCAGCAGGGGTTGGTTTTTGTCAATCTCAATGCCGAGGAACCAAGTCCTTTGGATGATGAGGCGATGTCGAAACTGAATGGATTCTCTGTCGCATCCGGTTTGCAACCTGGCTCTGTTTGGGTCGCCGGTCAAACGCTGTCAGCTGACTTCAATTGGAAAATGGGGAGTGAGTAAAGTATACCGAAGGGAGTTGAGATTATCCTCTGACTTCTCGATAGTGAAGCCCTCCCTTCTTGAATCTTTCGCCACAGAATTAAAGAGCAACCTGCCTGAAGCATTTGGACGTTCTACTGTCAAAGACGCAGTGAGACACATCTTCCAATCGAATCCACTGCATGAAAGCTACCATTTTCCAACAACACTCTTCCATTATTTCGTGGATACCAAGTTTTGGTTTGCTTTATCTTTCTTCCCTGCATCCGAAAGCAAGACGCACATCCGATATGACATATTCTCACATTCCTCTGTTGGCGAAGTGAAAACAAAAGCCATATCCGCGGGCCTAGAGAATGCATCAGATAGACTCAAGCGAGAGATCGAGAATGATTATCATTCAGTGACCAACGGACAACAGTAAGTTTCATTTCCATTCACATCGCGGGATTTTAAATTGACAAACACTCTCAGTCTACCAGCTGAATTTGAGAATCAAGGTATGTGGGGATCACAAATTGAAATATTTCTCTACTCTGACATACCCGTAAAGGCACCCGTGAAGCCCTTCGTCGAATCTCTGAGCATAGAAGATTGGAGAAAATGCAGGGGAGTCAGATCTACCCTGCGATGCGGAAGTCAAAGGGAAGCAACTTGTTCCAGCAGGCCGAGAAAGGTGAGTTGAATCAGGCCAGAAATTCCACTTCTCAGGACTGAATACTCGCAGTGTGCAGTGAGCTGGACTGCGTGAGTGGTGGGTCCAAAAATGGAAATTCATCAACTGTACTCGATTGGTGATTCACTCTTTTTTCGCTACTCGATTACCCATTTTTGATCTTCCACAAAGGACCTTAGGTCTTAATCAAAGCTTCCAGCAAGGAATAGTCCTAGGCTCGAAACCATGTCAATATGCTTAAGCGAAGAGGAACTGAAATATAAAGGATTTCAAACTAAAGACAAACCGCCCTGGATGAGACCGAAATCATAAGAAATGTATCAAAATCAGTTCTTGAACGCCCGCGCTCATTTTCCCAGTGTTCAACCAACATCCCCGCTCATCTATCCGTTTGCCTCCGACGCACACTCTTTGAGACCATATTATTCGAATCTCTAGTTCTGCCTAGTGCAGTATCCCTCGTACGACTACTAGACCGATCCGACGGCCTTCCCCTCCTCCTAACCGCTTTACTTCGGTGCAAAGACGTCTGACCCGAGAGGGCTAACCCACTCAATCCAGTGAGCGAAGCATCATCATCATCGTCATCATCACTCTCAAGTCCAAGTCTGGCAGACTTCGGTCCCCGTCGCCGACTTGAATTACTTCGCGTGCGCCGGGGCTCGGTCGCCATACTATGTTTCAACACACTGACTCCATTATCACTGGCGTAAGCTTCCAGCGCAAGATGCCATGTACTTCCCGGCCACGCTCGTGGCAAGCGGGCGATCAGTGCCTGCATTTTGAAGACCTGCATGCGCTCCATGTCAGCCTGGATGGGGTCTGCAATTTGTCTCTTTCTGAGGAGCTCTTTATGCTGGACGAGGCCTGCGGCAATTTCAGTTCCGCAGATCTTGCCGTATTCGAGTGTCATGATCTGTTTAGGAATGTGGTCGAGAATGACGGAGAATATTTCCGTGCTGGTTTGGTAGGAGCTTTTCGCTGCGCAGAGTAGGGCATGTGCTGGGGGTCCGCCTTCCCACTGCGGCAGGGTAGGATCGCTATTCTTGCAGAGCCAGCGGATTGCGCCATACTGGTTGGATTTAGCGGCGTACATGAGCGGAGTTTCGTTGATGTGGTTTCTATTGCTGGACGATAGTGTCGAGAACTTGCCGAGCCATTCGACCATCGCACGGGCTTTGGGGTTGAATGCTGCTGCCATATGCCACGAGCCGTCGAGTTGGCCACCCAGTGGATGATGCTGGTGTTCGACGTTGCCAATGTTGATTCCCTTTGCGTACAGTGCTTCTGCAACGGATGGTGGTGCTATGGCGCACAGTTCGTGCATTGCGGCCGGGTGAAAGATCTCTTTCAGTTCCGACTTTCCAATAATCCCCGCCTTGATCATCTTATTCAGGGCGAGTTCGAATGCTTCGAATGCATTGTGTCCAGCTAATGACAGCAGAATATGATTCCCGGATGAATCAGGCTCTCGAATATCCCGAGGCTTGGTCAAATCCGCAGGATCCATGTTAGCAACAACGACGGCAAGAAGTTCAACGTTGTTCCCATTGAACCCAGCTTCCAACCAATTCCGTCCGGATAAATCATAGCCGTTGATTGTGACGAAGCCTTCTTCAACAAGAAAACTCAGGCACTTATGGCATTTCACTGCAGCATCGTAGGCCGGGTTTGTTTTGAAAGGATGATTGTCCTTCTCTCTGGGCCAATCCTTGACCTTTTTAATATCTTTCATGGCCTCCTCATAGCTATCATACGATCTGATCATCGACAAGAACATGTCTCGGGTCTCTTCCTTCTCCAGCCAAGCGACTGTTTTCTCTCGGAGGGGAGCATCTTCTTCAATGAGTCGATGAATGGCATGGATTTTACTTTCTTCCATGTATCGAACTCCCAGGGAGAAACCCGTGAACCTGTTCAAAATTGTATCAATTGTCTTTTGCTTTAGGCTCGGGAGGTCAAGCTTGGTAGCCCATTCAATCTGCTGCCTTGCCGTCCGCTCGCCAATCGCCTTTCCGCTAGTAGTATTGAAGTGCTTGGTGGCAACGCTTCCACTTGTCAGTCGATCAAATACGACGCCCCATACCGGCAGGGTCCATGATTCCGTGTCTGCTGGAGAAGGGCCAAAGAGAGACATAATTAGTTCCCAGGTTTTTGATTCGTGTGGGTAAGTATATCCTTGGAAATCTTTTATGATCGTGAGGGAGTAACCCGGTATACCTTATATCTTTTCTTCATTCTCGAACCTCATGTCAATTAAGCTCTAGGGTTTTTTCTTTGTCGCTTTGACTTCGTCGATCAAAGGGTTTATATTTAGAATTGCTGGGCTCTAATTTTCAAACAAAAACAAAGATCTCTGAATTGAAGATTCCAAAGTGATCAAAGGAACATATCATCCATCTCCTTCTGCCGAACAATACACACAGTTCTACAGTAAGGAGGAAGGCCAAGCGGGGGCTGATCACATTGCCACGCCCAAGCCGGGGGCTTCTCTCCCTCCTCCCTCCCCTGTCGGCCTGGTCTCTCTTCACTTGCGCACCAGGTATCTTACCTTGGCTGGTATTGTGGGATATACAAATTAGCCCAGGCGTCATTTTTTGAACTTTCATGTTGTGACCGCAATTAATCCGTGGCAGTCATCTTCGAAGGGGCAGAGCGGACAGGTTGGCTACGGGTAGTGGGGCGACCAGTCTTGGCGGTGACGGAGATTGGTTGAAAATGTGACAAAACCCACTTGGAACAAACATACAAAGCCTGGTTGGCCGAGTGGTTAAGGCACTGCGGGGCGTACCAACCCGGGAGTGTGTCACCGCGTAAGCGTGTGCTCCGAAGGTGTTGGCGCGTCCTCCAGAGACCCCTGGTTCGAAATCCAGGATCGGGCGCTTCTTTCCCCCCCTTTTTTTTTCTTCTCCCCAAAGACGAAGAGTCATTTGGCGCAGATTAAGTATTGGTAACTCAGGTATCTCGCCCGCGGGCGGGTCTCTGACTGCCAGAAGCCAGGCAAAGCAAGGAGCAGGAAGGTCTATGGGGCAACGACCTCGCCGCTCTGCCCGATCGTCGAGATCAAATGATTTAAAGCACTCTACGGAATGCCTCCCTCTTTGAAGATAGACACCCGGAGCTCAGCCTTATATCAAGATAGCGAAAATTGCATTGATCTGTCTGTGAAAACAAAGACACGATGAAAATGCAAAGAGCCAGGAAATAGTTGGCAAAAGCATATGCCGATTGACGTAAAGTCCACATCGTGCAGAAATGCAGTCATCTCATCAATCCCGCCAAACTCCCACTTTCTCTGGAAGAAAACCCATCGATCATTGGTATTTGGATAAAGACCTTAATTCCCAACCTTGACGCCTCTGGACCCTTCCAAAATTACTCGCATTCCTCGAAAAATCTCAAGCGACCCACAACTCATCATCCACATCCGAATCGCGGGGATACTGACGTTTCAGGAATAGCCAGATCCACAAGAGGACATCGTGTCGTGTTTTCAAGTCCACCCGGGCAAGTCTGCAGATATCAGCCGTATCATTGCGATCAAATCCCCAGTTGGCAAAGGGAATTTTGGAAACCATGGCCGTCCCCCCAATTGCAAAGGCCACATTGCAGGCTGCGCTTATCAATGCGGGCTCGAATGTGTTAGCCCAGGGAATTAAGGCGTATCGAGCCGATGTAAGACTTTTCTCATTATGATCGTTTCCTGAATATGTGAATTCCATTGCAAGTCGCTTAGCGCAATGTAAATGGCGATATCATGTCTTGTGGGATCTTCAAGATGACATGAACTCCGGGGCTGACAAAAGCATAGATCCCATTTCAACTCGACATTCAATCTTTGACACAGTTCGCTGCATGTGCGATCATTACTTCCCCACTGGGTTACCTGTGGCTTAGTGGATTGGAGGGCTGGTTCCCTGGCCGCGAGTCGAAAGAGAAATCCGAAAAAGGCCCCGATTCGTCATTGAATGTGACCAACACGGTCGCGAAGATTGTGATTGATCAGACGATTGGGGGCGCTTGGAACACAATCCTGTTCATTGCTACTATGGGCATGTTGCGGGGGAATGGGTATGATGCCATCATGGCAGAGATACAACAGGTATGTTTATGTCTGACAGTTCTAGTTTGGACCCCAATGTTGGGGGCCAGATTCCCTGAAGGAAGATCGGCAGTGCACGAGCTCAGGAGCTAACGCTTATTGGTGTCATAGGAATTTGTGCCCATTATGGTCGCTGGTTTGAAATTGTGGCCTCTGGTGTCGATTCTCAATTTTACAGTCGTGCCGGCTGATCAACGGTTGTTGGTTGGAAGTTTGTTCGGTGTTGTTTGGGGCATTTATTTGAGTCTACTGTCTGGGTGAAAGAAATCGCATAGTTATAAGATCGATTCCAAACTCAATCGCTTCTAGGCCTGCTCAAGGGGCACTCATACGTTGTAAAAAGAGGGGCATCGACAATACCAGTGTCAGTCAGCTCCATAATCCCAACCTCAAGCGCAATCACCACTGATCGGCATCCGCATCCGCGAACGAACTCCCAGCAGCAATTTGATCATACCAAATCTGTCTCGTCCCCTGCGACCCCTTCATCCCCTTATCATCATGCCACCCATTAGCATAAAGACCAACCCTGAACTGGAACGCCCGATCATCATCAATAGTCGTAGCAAGACCGCTCTTATCCAAGACATTCTTCCCATCCAGCCAAAGTTTATAAACACCCGTCCCATCCGACTTCCACGTCGCCTGGATCTCAATCTTGTGCCACTTTCCAGCAGAAATGGTAGCAAGCTTAGGGAACGTGACAGTCTTCTGTGAACAGATACTGCCCTGCTTAACACGTGTGTAGAGCTGATCACCCACGATCCAGACCATGGATGATGGCATGTAATCGTCGCAACCTGTATCACCGAAGTCGGCGATGAATTGGGCGATGTTGTACGATTGAGCTGGTGCGAATTGCCAATTATCTTGCAATCGGAAGGTGAAGCCGTAGTATCCCGTGTCGCCGCGTTTGTAGACGTTGTTCTTGACGACCTCGGAATGGTAGCGTCCGCTGTAGCTTGAGTCGTAGACTTGGGTCATTTTCAGGGCGGTGGAGCCCTTGTAGACGACATTGTTGACTTGCTGGACGGTGCCGGAATGTTCTTTGTTGGTGGAGTCCCAGCCTGAGGTCGTGCCGGTATTGCTGAAGATCTGGGTTGCAGAGGCTGTGAGGCTGAGGGCTAGCAGTGCTGCTGTGGAAAGGTTTCCGAACATTTTGGAAGAAAGCTATTGCTCGAGAATGATGCGTTTGGGTATTTTCCCAGGGCTGTGAGGGTTATATACCCTCAAAGTCTTCAGGGACCGTCACAGACACGGTGGTGGAGGTAAACATGCCGACACTCTGCGACGGCTCATTGAACTTGGGTTAGTGAGGACTGGAAAGTTAAGAGGATTTTCCTAAAGAGACAAAAGCTGAAACTGCAACCCTGGATATTTGGTGGTAGTAATGGACCGTCTGTGGTAAAGGACTGTTTCGAATGCGTGGGAATATCACCAGGTGTTTGTTATTGGATATTATGCCGGGGCCCAGCTGCAGTTTGGAGAGCCCGGCAAGCCCCGCCATCCTGCAGATCAGGGCACGCTGCCTTTCTGCTGGGGTTACATCGGGGCTGCGGATACCCGCGGCGGTGCCTTGTTGTTTTTGGGAATGAGCGCTCCATTGTAGCCCGTATTTCGTAGGAATACCGGTTTGATAAAGATGGGCAATAGTGCAAGCTTTGAAATGAAATGAAGTTGAAGTGACGAAGACATGAGTTGTATTCCATTCGGTCGTCTGCATGTTTTCAATAGTGTGAATGCAGCAACACCCCGTGCCTTGAGTTTTGCCTCTCAGGGCACGTCCGCAACTGCCCTAAATACTCGACTTGAGCATATACTCGGCATCGGTAATCTGTCCTGACTTCAGATTGAAATTGATGTAAATGATATCAATTAGAATGGGACGAGGAATATTTGCCCTCATATTTGGCCCCCATATTTGGCCCCCATCTTCCTTGCGTCACTGAGGATCGCGCAAGACATTTATGGCACCGAGAAAGTCCTCAATAGATTGCTTTGCTCAACCAAGATGGCTTAATGAGTTCTGTATTCTCCACCTCGGCAGTGTCCGCCCCCAAATCAATATCCCACATCGTCATATTATTTTTGACAGCGTGGGGGCGGGAAGGGGAATGTCCTGGTCTCGTCCGCATTGTTTTGCCTCGGTCGCAAACTCGACTCTGATCCGAAGAAGGGGAATAATCGCCATATGCGACCGTGAAAAGACACCTGAAACCTCGCGAGGTCAAGTAACACTGGTAAATAAGCCAACGCTGCACGGGTCTGTCAAATAAAGATGCTGACAGCCGAGGGTGTTAAAAACTGTCGAAATATCTCCACTTTAGACTGCATGCAATGACAGAGATCCACTCGAGTTAGATTTGGGGCGAAGTGAAGTGGGAAATACAGCATCGGGGCTGGGGTATTCAGTTCTTCAGCCTTGCCCGGTTGTCGATCTTTACTACCGTTACGAAGTACACCTCGTACTACACGAGGATAATAATAGCACCCGTATTCAGTACATCTAGTCTGGAGTTCGCACATTGAGAATGCATTGAGAATGTCTACAGTAATCAATACTCTGCTGTTATCTGCCCCGTCGATCATTCCATGCAGACTAATGCAAGAGGCGTTCTGATTGGGGCCATATTTGTGCCACCACCTTGCTGATTTGGGGGCCTAAGTAGGACATTTGGCTAAAAGCCATGCATCGTGCCAGATTTCTCACTCAAATTCTTCATCTGGAGATCGGGGACGTGTTCTTTGTTGGATCCGACTAGTTTTGCAACAAAGGGCGATTTGCTTGGCAACGACGGCTGAAAGGGTATGTTCGAACGAGAATAGACTCGAAAGGAGACTCGAGAGATGAGTCCCACCAAGCTAACAAAGGCTAATAGGTCAGAGGAGGTCATAATAGAAACGTCGCACGTGAATAGGGCACCGAAATGGGGTCCTCTCAATTGCTACAACCACTGCGGATTCGTAAGGCGTCGGCCACACAGACAAAATCCGAAGAACTGCAACTGAGCCTCCAGTGCCGACTGTCAAAAGCCAGAGAAGACCTGATCGCTTTTCGCGGTAGCGTCCACCCCGACAAAGATGTCCATACAATGCCGCACATCGCGGAAACCACCCAAGACCCGACGGATGTGCACCCAGGATCCCTTGTACCCTGGCTAGCACCCGGCACTAAAGAAACTAAAGAATGTCAAGCCCAATCACAACCAAAAAGTCTCAAAGAAGAGGAGGTGGCGCTCGGGGAGCTCGGGGACAGTCGATGTGCCTCCCCGGCAGAATCAAGTATCATGGACTTGGATTCACTCCTGGATTTCAGCGATTCTGAACTCTCCTCATTGTCAACCCGAAACTCCTTGCGATCCGCATCCCGTTTGTCCCGCTTCTTTCCCGAGCTGTCCTCGCATTTCGCCGTTGTCTCCCCGGTCAGCGCAGATCGCAAGATGGACCAGACGGGCCCCACGCTCTTCGAACGAGAGCTCGAAGAGCGAGTGTGGATCTTGTATCGTCGCTCGGTGGACTCGGACGAACAGCAGCCAGTCAATCGCGTTCCCGGCGGCGTGGACGCTTCATCGTCCTGCTATAGTCGCCGCTCCTCCCTCACGACTCTGGGGACGGAATTTTGGGGCGATGATGGCCGACATCCACTCAAGTCTCCGGAGGAATACTCGATTCACTCGCCTGCCTCGGTGGGAGTCTTTGACGAGATCGCTCCTCTCTCGCGACGGTCCTCCACTCTCCCGCCGTATACTCTGCACATGCCCCTGCATGAACAGAGACCCACCAAGCAGGTTTCAATGACAGAGCTGAAGAACAAACCATTACCCCTGGAGCCATCAGACAATGAGCCATCGAGGAGTCGCTGGAGCGATTCTTCTCACTCCACCGAGTCACACTTTCGCCCTGTGCCAACGTCGTCTCGAGACCTATTGGTGTCGCCATTACACCCTACCCCCAACCACCATGATTGGAAAGCCTCCCAGAAGACGAGCTCGCATCGACCGGCCGGACACGTGTGGGTGGGGTCCGAATATAATGACCTTGGGCACTCACGCAATGGTCGGAAAGAAGGTGAAAGGCCGGTCAACAATTGGCCTCATGCACCAACATTGTCGCAAGCAACGAAAGACCTCGAAGGAACCCTGGCGGAGCTGGCAGACGATTCGGATCGGCCCGTCCCAGTGTCCCGCAATAAGGACTGGATCTCCACTCGCCGCGCGCCTCTCCCGCCAACCGAGGCCCAATTGACCCCTAAAGCAAAACAGTTCGGTCGCTCACTCACATCAAGTCCCAGTCCAACCAAGAGCAGAATCTCGCAGCCAAAAGACACCAGAGAAACATGGGACAACCGTACAGCGAGCCCGGGAAAAAAGGAGAAGAAGAAGAAATCCTTTCTTGCGCCGTTTCGCAAGAGCCAAGTCCGCATTAGCGCCCGGTCGGAATGCCAATCCATGACGTCGATCCCCTCGGACATTCTCGAGCGAGTGGAAGACTTTCTCACGCCTGAACAAGAACAGGGGGAAGTGAACAAAATGCGCCAAAGTTGGGCGCTGGTCTCAACTGCCCAGGCCAGTAGTCTGCACCTTGATCAGATCTATGAATTGCCTGCTGAACCCCACTGCTCTACACCGATTGTCTTGGAACATCCCAGTCATGTCGGTGTAAATGAAAAGAAATCCAGTCTGCCCGTGGATATGCCGCTGGATTTGATCATTTCGATCATGGAGAGAATCGACTCACTGGATGATCTGTTTAATTTCGTCCTCGTCAATAAAAAGCTGTATTCTGCGTTCAAACGGCGCGAGTTGCCACTTATCAAGAATGCGCTGTTCAAAATGTCCCCGCCGGCATGGGAATTGCGCGAAATGAGTCCACCCTGGGAAATGGAGTGGGCGCCTCTCATCGACCCCGACTCCCAGGTTCCTGAATACACGCCGACATTGTACCTACAGCGATACGCGCAGGATATCTATACCCTGGCGAAACTCAAGGCACTGGTTCTGGCGCGCTGTGCCCCATTCCTGCGACGGGAGACTGTTCGCGGTCTGGCTGGCGTGGACAATCAGCGCGCGGAGGAAGTCGATGATGCATTCTGGCGCGTCTGGACATTCTGTCGGATCTTCGGAAGTGGGAAGAGACGCGAGAATGACCTGGCTGGTCAAATGGACTGGTTGAAGGGAGGTTGTCAAGCGAAGAAGTCTTCCACATCCGTCTCGACAATGGCCCAGCCTTTCGCCATCAACAACGTTCTCTTTGAACCGCCTCCAGGCTTCGGACGGGGAAATCTCTCCGGGCTCTCCCAGGGACAAATGTACGATATGATTGAAATTTGGACTTGCATGGGAGTCCTCCTCCAACCCATGCATGGGAAATGCATTGAGGCACGCAAAGTCGGCATCTTCGATAACATGGACGTCCCAGAAAACGATGCAGTGCGTGAAGAAATCGCTCTAGGTAAGTCGTGACTCAAACCCAACTACCAACATCACTAACCCAAACCAGAAGAATGGACCTCATACATCCTAACCCTCGGCCTCGGCGCCGTAATGTCCCTAAGCTCCGTCTGCCAATCCGACACAGCATCCGCCAAATTCGCCCGCGCCCACTCAATAGGCCTAACGAAATGGGAAATCACCGAAACAGAAGCAAGCCGATCCTCATTCCTGAAAGAAGCCATTTCACGCGCCTACGAAATCCAAGAACGAGACTCCAGCCCCATAAAACCAACCACCCAATCCTGGGCTCCTGCGCGTGCGAATCGAGAACGCCAAACTGCCTTCGCGAAGGAACTTCAACAAAGACGAGCCCGAGGTCTTGGAGAACCAGCAGGGAGATTCTCATTCTCGGCTGAACGGCCAATGTCGGAATATAGCACTATACTCCGGAATCTGGATTCAAATGAGCAGTCTGTTCCACCTGTTCCGACTCTTGTTCATGATCGGTCATCATCTACCACTTCCATTCCGGAACCGCGGACGCCGATTGAAACGGGGCTCGATGCTACGGTATTCGCGCGCAGTCCGCCTCTTTGTCAGGTTGGGAATTATTCTTCTGATGCGCATGTTCGTCGGCCGCAGGTTTTGGATCCTGTTGATCGGGCTATTGATATGATTGTTCATGAGTTGGGTTTTGAGACTGAGGATGCTAAGTGGGCTTTGAAGATTACGGATACTGGTGAGGGGATTGATGCAGATGCTGCTGTCCAGTTGTTGAAGAAGCAGAAGAAGAAGAATGAGCGGAATCCTTTTGGGAAGAGGGATAGTTTGTTGTCTTCTGTTATCAAGAAGCAGAAATCTCATGACTCTGGATGGCGGTGGGCTTGAGTTTTACGTTGATGCTGATGTTGATTTTGATTTTCATGTTGATGTTGATGAGTTTTGTTCCTCACGATCATTGTGTGCCATATACCCGTGTTCATTTGTTTGATTTTTCTTTCCTTTATTTATTAAACAGAATGCTGTTCAAGAATCCGCTCTTCTTCTGATTTCTTGTTTTTCGGCATTGATTGCATTTCTGCCACTTCGTTTTGCATCCAAGAATCTCCATATGTAAGCCAGTGTTGAAATATATTTCACTTTCAATTGTATACAATTTTGCAAATCATGTGTATGAGGTTCGTAAGGCACCTGGTTCGCTACTTAAGTAGTTTCTTCTCTCTGATAATCATATCTTCCCTGCACCTGCTTTGCTAGGGACATTTGCCTGGGCCTCACTCGCAGAGGTAGCAGGAGCAATTTTGAGTCCCGAGAAATCCGTAAAGAAGGAAGTATCCTTATAGGCCGTCAGCTCCCCGGAGTCTGTCGCCAGGTTGACGACGCACGACCGCCCTAGAGCTGAATTGCATTGTTCATTGGTTGAAGAGTCGGGGGAAGTGAAGAGGACGCCCTTATAATCCCCAATAATTGTGTTCACGCCACTCCAGACATTTCCTTCGAAGAGTCCCTTGGCAGTAGCTTCACCACCCTCTAACACATGACCATTATTATCCTCCCACACATTGTTCACAGCATGCAGTAGAGTGCCACCGCTCAAGGCAGGGCTGCGTCCAGTTGTCTTGTAGATATAATTGTTTTGCAGGGTGATTTGATCCGCTTTCCCGACCATCTCAAATGTCCAGTAGGTATATCCATCACAGCCGGTAGAGTAAGGAGTCTCGCCATTGATGAAATTGTTCGACAGAGTCACACGGGTGCTGGTGTCAAAGCCGAAAACGTAGTGTTGACGTCCAGTGCGAGCAGTCTATGTATCATGCGTTAATATCAATACTTGTCTCTATCCGCTTCAAGGGATAAACACATACCGTAACATGATCGATCCAAATAAGATCAGACCCGTCGAATGAGATAGCATCGCCTCCCCAGACATACTCAGGGTTCAAGTCAGTGACTTGAATGTTTTGCACAATAATGTTGCTCGCGCCGTCGCGGAACCTCAGGCCTTTGCCCTTAATAATGCCCTTGTCTTCCACACCAAGAATGGTCTTGTTGGAAGCAACGTCAATCGGTTTGGTAGCAGCAGTATACCAGGTAGCACTCAGTGCAGTCGAGTCTCCACAGTCATCTTGAATGATTTTCTGACATTTGTCTCCAGTACCCCAAGAAGCACAGACAGTTCCGCTAGTCGTACCCTCCGAGTCCGTGAAGTCGAACTCTTGATTCAGAACGATCACCCGTGCAGTGTCATCTGTCAACCACTCCTTGAGCTCGTCAATGTCACTGGGATATTGGGCTTCAGTACTGCCTCCGCCTGTCACGCCAGCAGCGAAACCTTCGGCTGAGCCGGAGACAGTCTGCGATACACCGAGCTGCGTGGCCCCCAGAATGACGGCGAGGGTGAACAATGTGGGCCTCATGCCGGGCTAGAATGCAATGGGAAAATGAACAATTTAGAAAGGTTTAGAAAAGATGGTCACTCGTCGTGGCGGGTGACAGGTTATTTAGATGTCTGTTTTTCCCTTGAGTACTATTTTCGAAACGGACAGACATTCACCGACAGCGATATGGAGTGGGGATTTTAGGCATTGGAACGAGAAATCATTGGGGGATAATTCAAAAACTGCGAGGTTCCAAGAAGTTAGCGTGAAGCATGAAACAGCTCTAGAGAACATAGCACTAACTAAAGCTGAGACAGGGGAAAGGGTCAGCAATAGACCCAGCTGAATTAATTGGATATCTTTAGTCCAAATGACAGGAGTGATCGCCAGGGCTGGTTCGGATACCGAGGGCCTAATCCAGCCATATTCGGAGGTTGAATAACGTCCGTCCATACGGAGCTATCGGAGATAAATATAATGGAATGTAGGAAAACGGAGTACAGCAGGTTAAAAAGAAACACAAAAACATACAACAGTGAGGATTCGCTGGTGGTCACCCACCCAACTACTAACTCACCGGCGTGTGGCTTAAGTACGGCTGAGCGGACGGGAAGCCCTGTTTTCCACACCCTGTGGTCGTATGTACTAAAATTGGCATGGAAAGGAAATATATAGAGATTTTCAGGAAAAGAACGCAGGATTGGGTGTCATTGTGTGGATAAGAGATGGCTGGGTGCCGCTTTGGCGCCTACGAGTAGTACAAAGGGGTTTATTACATTCAGTAACGTGGTCATCCTACACCTACGAAGCCAAAGAGGTGTTTTTTTTCCTGTACTATAACACATGCCTATTCCTTCTAGGGGTAAGTTTTTTACCTGAAACATCAAAGTCGATGTGGTATCCGAACCTCGATTTCATTTGGCGTTAAGTTATGTTATCGAAAGATGGCGTCGCTGAAGTTAGAATAAGTGGTTTGGCTGGCCGACACGCGCCTGACTGGCAATAACTTCCACCAGCATTGTAAGAATAATCTTTGCGCCTTTGATAAAACTCCCCGAGCAAGCAAGCGATAATTTCCCATTGATTCCTCAACCACCTTCTTCGTGCGACTGGGACGTGTTGATGATGATATTCATTCCTCCGCCTCCATTTTCTCCTTGAGCGACTGTGCCAGGTCACGAATTTCTTGCTCAAACCGCGCATCCGAGGATACGAACGAGAGTTGCGCCTTGACTGCATTCCATGTCTCCATGGTCCATTTCACGTAGCACCTCTTTCCTTCACCAATATTGCTCTTGCATTGGTTAAACACCCATTTTCGAATGTCGTCGGGGTCAAGCCAGTGCGCTGCAGCGATGAGATCCCCCGTAATACGTCTCGGTCCGCCCTTTTTGTGTACCTCGAGATTCGGATATCCACTATAAGTTGGTAGGATGTAGCCCAGGGCACATGCTTCACTGCAGTCCATCACCTTGAGCGCAGTGAGGCGAGATATGAAGCTCTGAAAGTTCCTCCAGCGGAGTTGGATTTCGCTGCCGAGTGTCTCCACATCAGAGTACGGGTACGCGATGTCTAAGAGGCGAAACACATGAGGTCAGTAGTCAAACAACGAATCATTGGATATGCACGACGCACTCTCACTTTCTTCAAAGAAATTCCAAGCGGGGTGTCCTTGCTGCTCGTCGCCGAATGTCCATAGCGTCATCTTTCCATCAAATGAAGGCTCACGTCCTACAAACACTTCATCGTCTTCGGCGGAGTAGATGTCGGTGTAGGTGGTATCGGGAACATCGTGACGAGGCAACGCTTTGAGGGCCAGGAAGAACTCGATGAGTGAGTTCTGCGCAATATGGCCAGGAGGAAATGCAGAGCAGATCTTCGCAACAATTTCGACCATTATGTCAAAAAGTCTGTCGGCATCAGGACCATCCAGGTATCCACTCTCTCCAGGAGTCAAAGTGAAAGGAGGATCGCGCTGTTGAAGGTTGTCGTATTTCTTATTCGTCTCGCGAGTGACCCATTTGTCAAAATCCTCCGCAGCTTGAGCCGGAGTGATTTGTTCAGTGATCAATTTCTTGATGAGATTTTGGCAAGTAGAATAATCGTCACCATCATCGCAATCGATAGAGTTGGGATGGAAAACGGTCATGGCGTTGAAAGACATGATGGCAGGGCTGTGTAGATGGGAGATTTGGCGGAATGGAGTTGAGAGTGGCAAAAGAAAAGAGAGAGCGAAGGAGCAAGGAAAAAGTAAATCAAATTTACAGCCTCTGTTGCAGAGTGATGTCTAAGAGAAAAAGCTGTCAGAATTGTTGTCGAGCGGCAACTTGAGTCTTTGTGCGACTGCCCTCTTTGTGCGACTGCCCCAGCAGCATCCTGAGAGGTCAGATGACCCCCCGACTACATTGTTTTTCTCTCCCTACATCTCTCACTTCCATTCACTTCTTTCTCCCCTGTGGTCAGTGTGTTGACCCAAATAGTCTGGATCTAGTATTGAAAGCCTCCCGTGGGCTCGTGTTCGCAGCGGCAATCTAATTCAACACCCCAGACTCGCACGTCTGCGTTCTGCGATTGCTCGTCGCGATATCAACATTCGATCCGCTCATCCGATGCCTGCGGGATATTTCTCCGTCCGAATCGGCTCATCGATGGAACATATCGAAGCAGCATTGATTTACGTCACCGGAGTCTGTTGAGAGAGCACGGCGAAAGAAAGGGAAAGGAACCGATTGAATTATTCTCCGCGGGGAGAGAGAAGAAGAGAGAGGAGAGGAAGCCTATGGAAGGAGGGTTTATCTACTAAAGCAAACGAGGGTTGGGACGAACTTCCATCTCAACAGAATCCCCACCGAGATCTCGCCGTGTTCAGTCTGTTTGGAGGGCCGTGGACCCTTCCCTTTATGCATCCACACTACGGACCAGTCTATGCCTCAGCAATGCTCCAACTGTATCTGGCTGGGTGCTCGATGTACTGCTTTGGATTTTTACCGTACCGATGCGCATATGCAGCTGAATGCCCCGCCGGCGCTAGCTAGAACCAACTGTTGAGAGAGCACGGCGAGAGAAAAGAGACTGAACCGAGAATTGATTGCGAGGGAGAGAGAGAGGGAGAGGAGAGAAAGCCTATGGAAGGAGGGTTTATCTACAGCAAACGAGGGTTGGGACGAACTTCTATCTCAACACCAACCAGGTCCACAACTTGCGTGCTGCTCTCATTGCGCGACGTCAAGCAACCAATGCCTGGTCCCCCGACCTAATGGCTCTTGGGATAACATCTGCTCAAGTGGATGAAGCTGCAGAGGCGCTCATTGCGCACATACTGAGACACCATGCGTGAGATTGTTTTGCTCCTGATAGCACCGGCAGCAGAAAAAGAGATATCGTGGATTCCGATAGCTTAATTCTTTTTGACTCATACTTTCGGAGAATCAAATGTCTTGTTACAAATCATTGCTCTTCTAAAGAAGGTTTAGGCTGATCCATCCGTAGGGAAGGCACCGGCACATAACGTGGCAGTGATCAACCTTCCTCACTGCTCCTTATATTGATGTTGGCTATAATACCCGTTTTGTAAATTCTGGACATTGAGACATCCCACCGTCACCTTGATGAATCATTGCATTCTATAACAATCATATGTGAATTTAACCAGTATACTAGCTCAGTAAACAGTAAATTTACATGGCTTTGAGTCCTGAAGGCCTCTTCTCCCGGAAGACCTGCTGCTCGACTGCCATGTAACTCCAACGGTACACGATGCCCCTTAATATCTGTTTGCATGGTTTCACAACCTCAGTCATTCTAAATTATGGTTCCGCGGGCATTGGAAAAATCAAGAAACTCAATATAGCTCATCAGACAGCCCTTCTACACTGATGGAATGGGTTTTTCTTTCATTGTAAAAAGTCTAATCATACCAAGTTATTGTAATATACTAGACTTAACAGATCCCTTTCTCTTTTGTATTTGGTAAGACAAAGGAATTGCTTTTTACATGATCCATGGGTCAATTCTTGGTTGACAAAAGAACCCAAAAGCCGTCGGGTCGAGCTGAACCTTGGAAGGTGTCTTGCGGGGAGTCGGGGCGTAGTTTTTTGTACGACTCATGGTAGTTGCAGTATACTAGTTGAAACACACAGTGTCTACTTAAGTAGCTCGGTGGGTGTATATTGAGGAGCCTTGTAATGCCCGTACTTTGCTTATAAGCCCTCAATTTGGCGGGTTTTTGATTGGTTTGAAGCTCGTCAAACTCCTAATTACTAAACTTTTGTTTAGCCGCCAAATATTAAATCAGCTAGTTCTTGATGCTCTTTGGAACTTGATGCTTTGGTAGGTAAAAATGGCTTCGGGTCTTTCTTTTACAAGATATCAATCTTTCACTATGGATCTGTACCTCTATTAGCATTGCGCCGGATGCAATGTTAACCAAAGCCGTATCACGTTACTCTAGAGCTAGCAAGGCAAAAGAAGGGAAGAATGTCACAAGCACAGGCATCACCCTGCTCAAGTGGCACTTGAGCAGTCAGTTGTGGCAAGCAAATAAACCCAGTGTAAATTGTGATTGTTAGGTACAACTTATTTACCGAGAGATGTATATAACCTTGGAAGGTCTCTGTTGTCGGTCATTCTAAAGTTGAAGTCAGAGTTGAAGACCACTTTTACACAAAACAAAATGAAGCTGTTTGGCGACCTTTTCCTCATTGCCACATTGAGTAGCTCCGTTCTCGCACTTTCTATCCCAGAAACTGCTGAGAATGAGGTTGATCAGCGTGCTAAGGTATGTTTTGAACCTGATGTTTATCGAAAATAGAAGGATCAACAAAGTAACCTTAGAGTAAACACAGACTGTGACCTGTCACGTTCTCAACGAAACAGGCCAAATGAAGTCATATAAGGTGAACGTTGCTCATGCCGAATCCGAAGCTAGGAAGGCTGGCCTCGCACCCGGCAAGAGCGGAGACCCCCACCGGTTCGAGAACCGGGAGGCTCTCCACTTCGGTGTGTATAATTGTGATAAGCATGGTTCCATTCTCCTGGAATACCCGATTTTCAGAGATGGCGAGGGTAAGAACTGGATGAAGGATGTGCCGACCAAAGAGCAGTCTGCCACTCCGATCCGTACTGTTTTATCTAACAGCCATGGCGGATTTGTTTGGTGTGGTGTCATGGCACATGAAGCCGTCAACAAGCGTGGAAGGGGCCGTGGTTCTTTCAAGAGATGTGTGTAAGTGGAGGGATAGGTATGGCAACAGCTAGCTACCCAAATGCCACAGAATTCTTTGCCGTGTTTCTGTCTTACACTTGCTGGGATTGCTCAGCACGACCTCTTGAAAATGCACAGGTGTCAGAGGCAAAATGGCTTACAAATGGATGACCTCGCTCATGATTTTACGGCAAGCGCGTGATTTGACTCAATGAAAATGAAATACTTGCAGTAAAGATAAAATTCTCTCACTTCCAAAGTTTCACTTGCTTCCACAACACGACTTCAGGGGGCTTAAAGAAAGTACTTCCAAGTTTTGAGCAACACGAACAACCTTGGAAGCTCAACAAGGTACTTAGTGCGGGCGTGCTTGTCTGACACAGAGTCAAGTGTGTCTCTCCCGAGGTCATGTAAGGGGATGCAGGTTTTGATATCGCATTCAGACAATGGAATAAACTCGGCGATTTGATAATGTATTGCTAAGTTGATACTAGAACTTGAACATGATATTTGCCCTAACATATATCACGATTCTTTTTTTATCTATCTATTCCTGAAGTCTCTTCTCCAACGTCCGAAGTTTGGTAAGTCATACACGGTGTTTGGGATATCATTTCCACTCCGGCATTACTTTACAGCCGATTCGAGAGCTTTGAAAAGGGTATCCAAAATGATATCCACATCCTCCACCCCTATGCTCAATCTAACAATATGACTTGGAATACCCGCATCTGCATAAAGTTGCCGTTTCTCATCCGTTGCCAATTGGGCAAATGGAGTTGAAAGCGTAAATGCGGTTCCAAAGCTGGCACCTTTGAAAATACCCACTCCATCGTAGAATCGGAGAGCAGTTTCATTTTCTCGGAAGATAAGGCTCATCAAACTACCGTACCCTCCGCACGGGCGCCGAATACTCTCGTAGTTCTTTCGAGTAGTCATGTTTGGGAAATTGACTTGCTCGATGGCAGGGTGCGCAGCCAACCTCGCAGCGACAATTTCGGCATTTTTATTGGTAGCTTCAACTCGAGGTATGTAGCTTCGGGAATTTTCGTAAAGGACTGCAACGTCTCCCGGGAAAAATGTATTCTCGTAGGATGTGGTCAATTTTCTGTGCAGACTTTTGTAATGGGACGATTGGGGGTTGACAACAGCACTTTGAAGTACGGGTTAATCGACCATTCATTTGAGACAGGTTGGCGTATCCACTGTATATCTTGGTCAAACTAGCCATAAGCACATCCCCATATGGCAAAAGGTCAACATTTACAAATGTGCCCACGGTGCCGTCGATTAAAACCAGAAAGTGATATTCATTTGCTAGACGGCAAATTCGCGGCATATCGGGCGTGAGAAGTAGTGGATTCGAAGGCACATCAACCCATAGAGCGTTGATTTCTGCTCCTGCTTTGAGAGATGCTTCGACTTGATCAAGTTCTTCATCCCCGCTCCTTTTGTATGTTGTAATATCTGGCCAGTGATCCTCGAGTATTTTCATAGTCTCCGTGTATAGCCAACTAATCTCTTGTCAAGGTAGCACCGGGAATTTGGTGAATAGAGACTCACCCAAAAGCAACAACACCTGTGTCAACGCCCAGATCCCCTACAGCTCGCATAACCGCATTGACAGCAGACATCCCGCCTGGATATAGGAAGACATCGTTCGGCGACGGAGGTAGTTGATCGAGGTCTTCTGATTGAACAAGGGTCGCAATTTCACGTTTGATGTAATCTCGCTCGACCGTTTCCGGATTATGTGAAACTGGTAAATGCTCCCCCTTTACTGCTAAGGGCTTAGTACTGGCAGTGCAGAACGCGGGGTTGACTGATGTAGAATGGAGGTAATCGAATCCAGTGAGGCAGAACGCGGCATGGCGGGGGGAAATCCCGTCGCCAGTATGAATCCAAGATATGAAAGCCGCACTAAAATATTTAGACGGGAAAATTATAACATGAATGTTCAACCAAGAGTTTTCATCTGGAAGCCTATCAGGTCGGGAGAATTGTACAGGAATGACTGTGTTTCCAGTGCCACCTGCTTCTTGGATTGCCTTTGCGCACCGAGAGGCGCTCGGGAGCGATGGAAAAAGCAGACACGATATTCCATCGACGCCATCCAGGCCGAGATGGTTCAAAACTCTCCGGCTGAGCTCTTCGACATCCTTCGTGATGTAAAAGCTGTCGATGATCAGAGATATTACTGGGATCATGAGCACCGAAGGTTCGCTATGCTAACCGAGGATATTGTGTTTTGAGGTGTGGAGGAAGCCACTTTTCACCCGCGGCCAGCGCGTTCATCGATCTCATAGTAGGTAAAGAGCACAGAATTGACTGGTGATATTTCAGCAACATCCGCAGGCGAACAGTGTTTTGCTTACTCGACGACTTTCAGGAGGAATGCACTCACCAAGAGGCACAAACTGTGGCAGAGATGGATGCATCATGGCCAGGTGATACTCTAACGAGATAAACACAACAAACGTGTGAAAAGGACATCCACAAATAGCAGGAAGATTGGTGAGAAATGGTTGAAGGGGAGGGGAAAGGTCGTAGGATTAGGATTATGCTTATGTATGACCTTGCGCTTTTAAAGCACTTGGGGTAGTATCTGGGGTCCGTATGCATGTATGCCAAGGTGGGGTCATATATGATGTATCTGATGCAGAGGCTGCAGACCCTTCAGCATAACGTAGGTTGTGTAACCAGCCTTGAGCCTGCATCTCACCAAGGCGAGGTAAAAATCGCGGTCGATTCAAGCTAAGTCTCACACTCAGTTGAAACAACAAGACCCGGTCGTTGTCTAGGTTGAGCTCTTATTAACCCCAGGAGCATATCATCTTTCGTCCGATGGCATACTAAGAATGAGTCTGCTACTTCACGGCGGAAAAGATCCAGATGGGGGCGCCTGAGCAGGGATGTGTCGTAACCAGATCCGGTGCAAGGATTCTTCTGTTTGGGTGGTTTGCAGCTAACAGAGTCATTTGTAACCCAAGACGCAGCGTGGCTGACATTGAAATAACTCCCCACCTCGGAGAGTAAGGCGATTTAGTAACCAACCTTGGAATTACACCCGACCGGCCACCTGATAAGCCACGGTAGGCAATCGGAATTGTCGTCAAGGAAAAGAAGCTTCAATCAACAAAAGCAAAAACAAAAACATACAACAGTGAGGATTCGCTGGTGGTCACCCACCCAACTACTAACTCACCGGCGTGTGGCTTAAGTACGGCTGAGCGGACGGGAAGCCCTGTTCTCCACACCCTGTGGTCGTATGTACTGGTTTCGGTACTGAAAGGAAATGTATAGAGAGTTTCAAGAAAAGAAGGCAGGATTGGGTGTCATTGTCTGGATAAGAGATGAATGGGTGCCGCTTTGGTGCCTACGAGCAGTGCAACTATGTACATAGAAGGTTTCGTAGTTCGGGGTCACAAAAGAGGGTCTTAAAGTGGACCAAACTTTAGAACCAATACAGCCCTGGAGCATTCAATGCGAGAATTCAGGTAAAAATACACTCATAGACCCGGTTTTTGTCCATCGTAAATGTGCCTCGATGGAGTAGACCAAGTCTAAAGCTGAGAGGATTCGAACCAAATCTCCACTCTCACTTGAGTTGTTGTCTTCCGATTGGTGAACCAGCCCGGAATGCGTAAACGGGATCGGCAAGGCTTTGTTTCTTCGCTTTTGATTGGCCACCCGATGAGATTGCCAGGGTCTGACCCCATTTTCCATGTTCCGGTTTGAGGATTGCCGAGGATCGCCCTGTCCACAGTGTAATCTAGCCCTATGGAACCGCTATTTTCATACGTGGCTGGAAAAATTCCAAGGTTTGTATCCGGTCGATTGATATCCGGGTGCATCGTGGGCATTCTTTAAGATATCAGTATCATTGGTCGGTGAGAGCTCGATTGAGGATTCGCCGAGTTTACTGTATGTTTGCCCCATGCACTGTGTCAAAAACACCCCAGGGCTAGGAAATGAACATTTTATGAGTTCTTGAAATGCAAGATCTTAGAAAAATCAGAAACTTGAATACATCAAAAATTCACCGCGGATCCATTCTAAATGAAGAGCTTTCCGACAAGCAATGCACCCATTAAGCACCATGAGAAGTCAGAGCCAACCGTGTTGATAGAAGCCCCACCCTTCTTGGCTGGACAGCTTATGACAGGGGTAGGGTCCATGCAATATCTAGCCGTAAGGGAAGACGAGATGCTTGAGGCAGCCGCGGGCGCAATGCTAGCCTTGCAAGGAGCAGGAGTCGGCGATGGACTCTTGAGGACAGCACACTTTTCGCCCCAAAGATTACTTGGTGGTGCTTTCAAAGTTTTAGTGGTGTAGAACGCCGTGGCCTGGGTATTATCGCACTTGTCGTTGAGAGTGGTGAGGTTGAGCTGATTTGCCCCTTTTTTCGTAGTGAACAGAACGGAATGGGCAACGTCATAAGGCCTCCAGGAGAATTCGTCTGTGTCGACTAGCCCGCGGCCATTCTCGGAAGTGGTCCCATTAGACGGCATCGAACAGTTCGTCCATCTCAGTTTCCAGACGAAACGCCATTCGTTCTCGGTATTGAGGGTGTTGGCTATACTATCGATTATGAATGACACTGGGCCCGTTTTATTCAGCAAGTGCTCCTCGGCCAGATAGGTCATGTGAGTTTGATTGTTTGGCGGGGTATCTGCCGACCAGAGGCCGTAACTCAGAGTTGGATAGAGTCCATCAATTACGGCAGGATTCTGAATCCCAAAGACGATGGGCGTGATCGTCATCGGGGCAAAGGTGTCGTGTCGTGGGAAAATAAGATCGATCTCTCCGAGGCCCAAGCCAGCCGTATCAGCCGCTCCCAGGGAGATCATGAGGCTGAGGGCGATCGCTTGCGCCCTGAGATTGAGCATGCTGGAACTTTGGTTTTGGTTATGTTGTAATGTTTATTGCGAATTGTCCACTGTCGACTTTCCAACGATTGATGACCACCGGGGTGTAAAAAGAAACACCGATCCCACCACAAATGTCAAGACGAAGTTCAACAGAAAATACCGAGAGACAAAAAGGAAAGCTGCGGTAAGGCGAAGGACCCAAATGTGGCCCAGAAGGCAAGGGTTAATTTTTCCGGGTACTTAAGTAAAACCCAAATCACAAGCTAGGGCAACTAGTAGAAGGTTTCTGTGGTTCCAGGATCACAAAGAGGGTCTGTTAAGTGGGTCGCTGCAATACAACATTACCGAAACATAACCGAGACATAAGAGAAATCCATTGAAAGTTCTTATTGATGTTTGTAAATCTCTCAGGTGCTGGGAGTGGGCCCGGGCAGGAGCTTGAGGCTCAAGTCTCTCGGCAACCCCTGCATTCATCGCACATGATCTGCAATTGGGCGTTCTGTGCTACATGATATTTACGCTGGTTGTCTTGGTACCTTTTCCCAAAACACTGGATGGATTCGTGGCTCGGGGTTCAGCGAAGTACCTGCATGAATATGCATTCCGTGAGAAAATCACACCCGGGGGCCATACTCGATGGGTCCGCCGATCCTGTGCAAAAACTTGCAAAAGATTTACCTAAGTATATATCTTGAAATGGGCTCGAGCTGTTGATTGATGCCAGGTCTGATTATTCAGTTCAATTAGGAAGACTACAGCTCTTACCAGTATAGCTAGACAGACTTCGGATACTTAGGTGTCGATATAAGGCAATTCACCCACAAACGATCGATCATCTTTACGGGTAGACTTAAAATAAAATGAAGCTCCCTGTATGTCTCATTTTGACCCTCGCTTATTCCGTCCCTGCAACGGGAGATGCATTCTTGATGTAGATGGGTGCAAATATGCAGCGGCATTCAACGTCACCAGGAGTCGAGGATTGCCTAGGTGAACCGCATGTTTGATGAGCATAAATTTGAAGCTATAACCCAACACCAGGTTGGGGGCGAAAAAGATCATATATCAATCTCTCTCTCGGTCTGAGCAGTGTCTTAGGTCTGTCGCCGTTTCAACAAGCACTTGCTTTCATTTGTTTAGGCAGTCCTTGGATGAATCCTTTCTCAATCATTTCTATTTAATCACATTACACTCTTTTATACCCTTTCCGCGAGGGGCGCCAAAGTCATGTCATCCCTCTTGAATGGGATGGCTGCTGGCCTACTTCTATCCGCCACGGTAGTCTCCGGACATGGAAACTCCAGGCTGGGTGCCAGTCCAAGCTACCAAGGGTTTAACAACATGTGCCCTGAGCGATGCATCATCACGGGAGCCAAACCCTCTAACTGGTCAACCTACCAGGATCTCAACCAGCTTGCAAACTGCCACCAGAGCATGTTTTACAGCTTCAATCTGTACGATGATGTCGACGATACCGATTCCCACCACCGCATCTTCGCTTGTACAACATATGGCAATGATTGGAACGATGACTCGCTGGCCAATTTACGTCTGTCGCAACCTGTGACCGAGCAAAAGGTTAACTATGAGATCGGCTGGTCATCTTATTCGGAGGGAACTGAGTCCGAGTACCGCTCTTTGATCAAACAGATGCGTGATTATATTGCACGTGGGCATGTTTCTCTCAGCAATACTGGTATGGTGTATGCCCAGCTTGGAGGCAGTTCAGCTGGTATCTATATCGGCAATAGCCTGCAGAGCAAAGACATCAGTGACATGGCATTGGAATCCCTTATTGAAGACTCCCATGATTTTGATGGACATCGAGAAAGTTTGGCCATACAGCTCTGCGGGCCACACTTTGACTCTCAGCACATCTTCGGATTCATGGCTCTGAGCAATGGCTCCTTCAGAAACATCCAATCTGCTTTTGAATCGTGGTCCAATGCCGAGTGCCTTGAGTTCGAACACAGTACAAACTTCACGGCCAGCACTCACTTCACATCGCCTATGCTTTCCTCCATCAAGCTTGAAAATGCAACTACAAGCAGCATCCAAGCCTCTCGCGCTTCTTTACCCACCGAGTCTTCGGCACCGCGGATGGGGAACTCTCTATCATCTAGAGGGGAGTGCCGAACACAGACGGCCCAGTCAGGTGATAGCTGTGCTACAATGGCCACAAAGTGTGGCATTCACAGTGCTGACATCCTACGATACAACCCTACACAGGGATTCTGCTCGAAGCTGACGCCTGGTCAGCAAGTCTGCTGCTCCTCTCGTACACATCAGCACAAGAGGAATCGGCTTTCACACAAAGATGAATGCAAAACGGAAAAGGTTCGGAAGGATGACAGCTGTGCCGCGCTTGCTACTCGGTGTAAGATATCTGGCGCTGACTTCACCAAATACAACTCGGCGAAAGGATTTTGCTCGAACCTGAAGGCTGGTCAGCATGTCTGCTGCTCTTCTGGTAAACTCCCAGATTTCAGCCCGAAGCCAAACAAAGACGGGAGCTGTGCTACAACCACGGTTGGGGATGGTGAAAGCTGTTCGACTATTGCCGCTGCCAATGGTCTCACGGAGAAAGATATCGATGGTTTCAACAAGAAGACTTGGGGCTGGACTGGATGCAAGAATATCTTCAAGGATTCTGTCATCTGTATCAGCAAGGGCTCTCCGCCCATGCCTGCTGAAGTTTCTGACGCCAAGTGTGGTCCCCAGGTTCCAGGTACAAAACCCCCAAAGGACATGGACAAGCTCGCCGATCTGAACCCATGCCCACTCAATGCCTGCTGCAACACCTTCGGCCACGTATGTTCTCCAATCGATCATTGCCGATAGCCCAAACTAATGTTGGCTATAGTGTGGAACCACAGCACAGTTCTGTACGGATACTAACACCGGCGCCCCTGGTACGGCCAAGGCCGGGACCAACGGTTGCATCTCACACTGTGGCAGCAAGATCGTGAAAGGAAACCCCCCCTCCGAGTTCCGAAGCATCGGATACTTTGAGGGTTACCAATTCAAGCGTAATTGCTTGTATCAAGATGCGTCGCAGATCGATCATTCAAAGTACACTCACTTGCATTTTGGTTTTGCTGATATTTCTGATGACTATGAAATCAGCATCGACGACAAGTCAACATACTATCAGTTCTATAATTTCCAAGAGATCTCTGGCCCTAAGAAGATTGTCGGCTTTGGTGGCTGGGACTTTTCCACGCAGGAATCTACGTATCAGATTTTCCGCAAGGGAACCAACGCAGCTAACCGCAAGACGCTTGCTACCAACATTGCGAAGTTCGTGAACAAACATGGCCTTGATGGTGTGGATATTGATTGGGAATACCCAAGTGTACGTATCGCCTCCTGTAACTTTATTCGCAAGACAGTCTGATCAGTCACTAACAAGGTCAGGCACCTGATATTCCTGGAGTTCCGTCGGGTGACAAAAGTGAAGGATCGAACTATCTCGCCTTCCTGGTTGTTCTGAAAGATCTTCTTGGGGATAAGTCTCTTTCAATCGCCGCTCCTGCTTCATACTGGTATCTCAAGGGATTCCCTATCGCCAAGATCAGTAAGGTTGTTGACTACATTGTTTTCATGACTTATGATTTGCACGGTCAGTGGGATGCAGGGAATCCCAATGCTCAGCCAGGTTGTGACGATGGAAGCTGTCTGCGAAGCCACGTCAATCTGACAGAGACCAGAGAATCCCTTTCTTTAATCACCAAGGCTGGTGTGGACTCTGGTAAGGTGGTTGTCGGGGTCACCAGCTATGGAAGATCCTTCAGAATGGCCGATGCGGACTGTGACGGTCCACTGTGCAAATTTACTGGAACCCGCCTGAGTTCCAATGCTGACAAGGCCGACTGCACAGATACCGCGGGCTATATTTCCAACGCCGAAATCAATCAAATCCTCAAGCACAACTCATCCCGCGTCAACAAGCACTATATTGACGCCAAGAGCAACAGCAACATCATGGTTTACGATGACACAAATTGGGTGGCTTATATGAGTCCCGAAGTCAGGGCCCAACGCTCCAAGATGTATGAGTCCTTCGGTATGGGCGGCACAGTCAATTGGGCAACCGACTTGGAACAATTCAACGACCCCCCTGACGGATTTGACGACTGGAATGGCATGATCCTTGAAGCAAAATCCGGGGTGATCACGCCTAAAGGTGCTGGTACCCGCACTGGCAACTGGACCAAGATCGGCTGCGACAGCGAATACATAACCCAAGATGCATTTTGGTCTACCTCGACTCGCTGGAAGCGACTTGATGCAGCTCATGCGTGGAGTGACGTGATCGCAGATTGGAAGGCCTACAGACCCAAGGATCATGCCGACAAAAGAAACAGCTTCTCTGAATATGTAACGCATCACCTCTTGGGAGGACCTGAGGGCGTGGAATGCGGTAGCATTGGCGCTTCTAGCAACTGCAGACAATCTACCAGCTGTAGCAAGCTCACAGCAACTGCCAAGTGGGGTGCTGCGGCGGAACTCATCTTCAATTCCCTTGTCAATATCAACACGGTACGCAGAACTTACCCGATGATCCCTTTTTCATTCGGGACTGTCTAGCTAACCAGTGACTTTCACAGATGTATGTTGAGTTCAGGGAGGCCCTTATTGCTGACGCTGCACTTGTCATTGACAACACTCTTCCTGACTTGGAGAACACATTTGCCCCTGTTCCTCCGAAGCAGGATGATTCTTGGTTGAACACTCTATTGGGTCTCCTTGCCTTGGGTGTGCCAATGGTTGGAGGGAAATTCTTCGATGACGGTAATCCTCCAAATCTCCTGTTTTTGAGTTCATTCCTGGCTTGCTCACACATCATTATAGTTCTCGCTCACATACCAGCTATGACCGCCAAGAGCGCAACGTCGAAGGACCACTACAAGGGTGTATTCAACGCTATTCTCACCGGTCCCGTCACGATCGGCACGAACATGAAGCCTAGCAATGTACCGTAAGTTGTCTAATTTGATCTTACCAGTATAGTCAGTGCTAATCGAGATTCATACCAAGGGAGGACTGGGACATCAAAAAGCAAGCCAAATTCTCCAAATACATGGGTCAGAGCATGGATGGATGGAAAGTGGTCTTCACAGAGGATCTCGAGAACCTGTTTGACGGATCTGACAAGTCTATTGAAAGGCTCACCACAATGATTTCCGACGCAGGTATGCTTCACGGCATTCCAGAAGACATCCCCTACCCCGATAAGATCAAACGCAAGGAACCAGACGACAAGAAAGAAATCATTGCGACAAAATCTCAGATCGATGCCGTGGAAACTGGTTTCCTCACTACTTTCTGGGCATATGCCATTCCCGCTGTTTGGCAGGCCTCGGGCCATCATCCTTTCATCATTGACACTGGTCGAAGCTGCGATGACAAGCATAGTGACAAGTACACCAAGGACTTAAAATCGGCATGCTTTGAAAAACGACTGTACCAATTAGCTGATCCTGTTGGAAAATCACACCCTTGCAGCAAGAATTGTGGGTTCCCTGGGGGCTGCACGTGTCCCGACACTGACTTCTCTTCGCCCAAGGGCGTGGGGGAGCTCGATGGCAAGACCTGGAATGGTCTCAAGGTCGACGATATAATTATCGGGTGAGTTCTCGCTTTTGTTACTGGCTTGTTCCTTACAGACTGCTAACCTTTCGCCCTTCCAGATCTGTCAAAACATACAAGCAGAACGGCAACGAGAACGGTGGAGGTAAGGCTGATGCCACGAATTCTGGTACATTCGACGCCCTCAAGAAATTGGATGTCACAACTCCTGGGTTCATGCGCCTCCCCGTATGCAGCGAGACTCTGGCCCGCAAATCGTGGGAAAATTCCGACAAGACCGACGCGACCAGAGACAGAGAGGGCTTCCCGTGCAACATTGACAATGGCAAGGCTTACTGCGCCACATCGAAGTCAACCTATATCAAGGAGACTTCTGGTGGATCGCCCCTGATCGATGATTGTCTTGCCCTTGTCAACAAGATTCAAGGAACCAGTAAGTACTGGGACAAGCCGATCGAGAGACAGTTTGGGATTGTCAGTTCTGGTACATGCACTTTCGGCATTGAGGGCAAAGGACGTAAAGGCAATGCCAACGAGCAAGTCGGGGCCCAGGACGTCGTTGATATCATCCGGTATGCTGTGAAGCACTGGGGTAAGGGAAACACCAGAATGGGTGGCAGAGGATCCATGCAGTGCGAGGGGAACATCAAGAAGCAGAAGGTGAATTGGGCTATATACAAGAAATAGCGGACGCTATCCTGACGGTTCGCAGCGGAGGTTAAGGAATAAAAGCGGTTTGATCGTGTGAAACTTTAGAACCTATTCTGTAAGCGTAGTCAGTGTCTTCATGGCTGTCTCGAATATACTTCCAGAGCCAAGTTTTTTTTAAACAACAGGGCATGTTGCCTTTTGTCAACAATTAAGTTGGTCGGGATCCATTCCAATTTGAGAAGGTTGACAACAAAAGTAAAATGAGAATCTAACGCCTAAAGAAGAGAAGTCAAGTTGCGATGGAGATTCACATCCGACTCTGTAGTAAACTAAACTGATCATGCAAACCATGCAAACAGCACAAACCACGCGTCCGATAAGACCTGGAATCCTTGGAAAACAGGCTTGGACAGCTTGAAGCCTTGGCTGCTATGGAGTGTCTGTTGCCTGTTTGCCAACTTGAAATCGCCCCTTGGGGATGCCGAGCCCTAGCTGTGTTGTTATATTTAAATGATGATATATTACCATGGTGAAACGGTCGAAAGCTACCAAAAGGGTTATATATGCATGTGTCACCGCTCTGTGCCAGCAATATTGACCGGATTGTTAGTGTTAGAGTAAACCCTTGAAGAAAAACAAAACAGAGACTCTTCAAGCAAATATGATATTGTACTCAGTAGAAAGATTGAAATAGTATAAAGCCTCCACGGGCATGGGAAGCACGCGACAAACACGTTTTATTCTGCGGGGTAAAACTTTCACCCCACTTCAACACCGCAATCCGTTGAATTCCACACGATGGGAGGAATCACAGCTCCATTTGGCCAGTGGCAAAGCCCAATCAGCCCGACCCTGCTGGGTGCCAGTGGCGTTCAATTCGAATCGATCGCAGTAAGTTTGCCGATCGGTCCCGCGATCATGGTTTGACGTTCTCCACAGACCTCGAATGGGAAAATCTATGTCATTGAAGCGCGCCCCAAGGAGCAGGGAAGAGGCTGCATTGTTGAATACTCCGGTCAAGATGGACGCGATATTCTGCCTGCGAAGTAAAATATTCTTGCCCAGCGAGTTTTTCCATGCTGATCCCCATCGCCAGATACAACGCCTCTAACAAGATCCATGAATATGGAGGCGCGTCAATGATCGCCTACAATGGTCGAATTATTTTCACCGATAGCGAGACCCAAGATCTTCATAAGCTGGACCCCGCGACTGGTGACATTGAGCGAATTACCAACACCGACGCGACTCTCCGCTACGTGTGCACTGCCGCTATCAACGCTTCGGCGGGAAGCAACGTTGGACCCGAATGGCTCCTAGCGATCGAAGAGGACCACAGCAAGCCTCTGCCATCCCAGGTTCAGAATCGCCTTGTTGCTGTGAACGTGCAAAGCAAGGAAATTGTCAATGTGGCATCCGGTGACGACTTCTACAGCGCGGCGCAATTTTCGCCGGATGGAAGCAGGGTTTGTTGGAATCAGTGGTCTCACCCTGACATGCCCTGGACGGGAGCTCGCGTATATTTGGCGAAGTGGAACAATGGTCAAGTCACTGACGTCAAGCTCGTCTCTGGCGTACCCGAGAAGGAGAGTGTTTCTCAGCCTCGATGGGGTGCGGATAACACTCTTTACTTCACCAGTGATCGCACTGGAACTTGGCAGCTATATCGGACTAATGCCGAGACATTGGAAACCAAGAGACTGGCACTGAACGGTTTGGAGGATGCGGAATTCTCTCAGCCTGATTGGCGTCTTGGAAAGTATGTTCGACCTCACTGCTACTGGGATTGATATTCACTTGCTTATCGTTTGTAGCTGCACATACGTTGCTCTCACTGCGACTTCGATGATCGCCTCCTACAACAAGAACACTCGCTGGACCTTCATCCTGATTGACCTGACGAAAGACACCTGGAGAGATCTGAATGTCCCAGTGACAGACACCATCATCATCGCAGATACGCCCCTTTCCGATTCCAAGGTTGCCCTCCTCGGCTCCAGTGAAACGAGCTTCAGTACATTATTCACATTGGATACTGCCGAGACAGTCCAGCTCAATGCGGTCAAGGCTGCCTCCGACTTTGTAATGCCAGCTTCTCTGATTTCGCACCCAGAGCACATCTCGTTCCCCAGAGTCCACGGCACAAACCAGGAAGGAGAATCTCATGCAATCTACTACCCTCCCCAAAATGGGGACTACCAAGCCCCTGCTGGCACTTTGCCTCCTTTGATTGTCTGTGTCCACGGTGGACCAACCTCCATGACGGGATCTGGACTCAATGTCACAGACCAATATTGGACTTCGCGAGGCTATGCTGTTGTTTGGGTGAACTACGGAGGCAGCTCCGGATACGGCAGAGCATACCGAGATTCCTTGAATGGACGATGGGGTACGTATTCCCACTATGCTTCCTTCGAATATTGTACCTCCATGCTAATATCTCCAATCAGGTCTTCTTGACACCGCAGACGCAGCCAGCTGCGTGTCATACCTCACCTCAACTGGAAAAGTAGACAAGAACGGCGTCGGAATCCGCGGCGGAAGCGCAGGCGGCTATATCGTCCTCCAAGCTCTTTGCGATTACCCCGATATCTTCTCCGGTGGTGCCTCGCTGTACGGAATTGGGAACGTTCGGACACTTTGCGACGACACTCATAAATTCGAGAGCCAGTACGCGTTCGCACTGTTGTTCGAGCCCGGTACGAGTGAGGCCGAGAAGAATCGCATTTTCTTGGAACGCAGCCCTTGCTACAAGGCAGACAAAATCACGGCACCGTTGCTTTTCCTCCAGGGAGATGAAGATCGCGTCGTTCCTCTTAACCAAGCGGAGGAGATGGTCGGAATGATGAAGAAAGCTGGCCGTGAATCTAAGTTAGTAGTGTTCAAGGGTGAAGGTCACGGATTCCGACGGGCGGAGAACCGGATCAGTGCCGTGGAAGAAGAGGAAGCGTGGTGGAAGAAGGCTCTGCTGAAGCTATGAGTTGGCCATTTCTACGCGCACGGGTAGCATTTCAAGTCTGGAATTTAGGAACATTTCGGGTGAGAGTCGGGCGTTACCGATATTCCACGACGTGCACACCTGACTCGCTCTGCGCATAGACGGCCCATTGAAAGCATTGAGGGCTCAGATTCCCTGATTCTCTGCTGGGATTATGGAAACTGTTTCGTAACATCAATCGGAAGCTATCGTCATTGTACAGTTATGCGCGGTGGACCAGTCGCGCGGCTCCATCTATGACCTCATTCTCCATATAAAATTCTGATCGGGTGTGAAAAAAGGGATAGGGTCGCGGCCCTAGGATGCTCGAGCAAATGTATTTAAGGTAGTTCCTAAGACGACCAGCAAATCCTGATTTATGTCTCAATTCGAATCTACGCATTCGTGTCGTTTGGGTGTTATGGTTCCCAACATGATGAAATGATGCTGAACAGAACTTGAGGCTCTTTGCCATGAGGCCACTTTGCCACAAATCTATCCACTAACCACCTGGCTACCCCATGAACATCTCAGGCACACCACTCGCACACCCTGGAGACCTTTTCCGGGCGTTGATAGTCGGCCCCGGGTGGCGTTTGGTGAATCCCTGGCCCCTTCCCGTTAAAAGGTGAGACATTGTCCAATCACATCCCTGTATTCTACCCCACAGCCGCTATGATGATTGACCACTTCCCTTTCTGCAATTATTTTGTAGAGATTGCGTCAATCTACATTGTTTCGAATTGGTCTCTGAGTCGCTTGACTTCTTTTCACACTTTGCTCTGCTTTTGTTTGTGATCTGTCGCTAATTCTGAATTAGGTTCTCTTCGTTCTCTGCTAGAGACAACCCTCAAATAATTAATTCTAATTCAATATGGAAAATATCTTAAATTTTAATAGTGTGTGCTACTTTTTTACCCAAAAAAGCCTGTCGTGTAACTGCAATGTATCGGTCGCAGTGAAAACAAAGACTCGCGATCTCACAATAGCCCGGTGAAAATTGTGAGAATCTATTTCCATCCCACTTAAGCGGGTTAAAAACTGAACAAAAGGTTGGAGATTATCCCATCCAATTTATTTATAAATCGCTATCGTCAATAAGATAATAATGAAACTTTCCACTGAGAAATAGTTTTCAAGGACATTCTAATGCATGCATTTGCGTGGAATTGGTGGTATCTGCTGCAGCTAGGACTCGCTTTTGTTCGGGCGCTCTGCCGGAATTGTGAGATCTGTCGCCTAATGCCTGTCCCCAGGGCAACCCACCCTTGCGTGGCCTTTGGACGGATCATTTACAGCCCATGGCATGACCCGGTGAAGTGAGGAGGTCTAGTCAATTATTTCTCCGCTCTATGCGAAAGGTCACATCGATTTGAAGTTGGGAGGAGCTGCCGCGATAAAGCAGCGGTCAGAGGAGTGAAAATTGGAGCAACTGGGGACTTTCATTGACATAAAAAGCCTGTGTAGCAATGTAGCAGTGATGAGAGAAAACGTATCCAAGCATGGTATATACAATATTCCTTGATTGGTGAACGATCGATTAAAATATACATAGTATAGAGAGTGGTATATAAAGAGTGGCGCCACAAGAACACCGAGCATGCCATCCCAAACGATGACGTTGGAACGCTCCAAATCACACATCTAGAAATCCATGGGAATCAATTAAGAATCGGACTTGAGTCCGTTCAGGATATCCTCAGCAGCCTTCTCAGCAACCATGTAGGTGGAGACGGCAGTGAAGGTACCAGGGATCTTGGGGTAGACGGAAGCATCGACAACACGGAGACCAGAGACACCGCGGACACGGAACTTGGAGTCCAGAACAGCCATGGGGTCGCCGTCAGCACCGATGGGGCAAGTGCAAGAGGCGTGGTGGCCCCAGGCACCGTCCTTGACGTACTGCTCGATATCTTCCTTGCCCTGGACGTCGGCACCGGGGAGGACCTCGGTGATGTTGACGAGCTGGCGCTTGAAGGCATCACGGGCGAGCTCGATGGCCTCGTAGAGGGCAGTGAGATCAGCGGCGTGGTCGCCGACACCGGTGTCGAAGTAGTTGAAGGTGATCTTGGGCATGTCGAGGGGATCGGCGGATTGGAGAGCGACGGTACCGGCGGTGTTGCGGGGGTGAGCCTTGAGAATGGCCCAGGTGAACCAGTTGTGCTCGTCGGTGGCGTTGATGCTGTAGTCGGGGAAGTAGCCGCGGAAGTTGACGGGACCACCGAATTCGAAGATGTCGAAGTCATCGCCGGCAGTGGAACTCTTGTAGAGCATGGTGGCGGCGAGACCGGGGGAAGAGTAGATGCCGCGGTCGCCGAGGACGGGAGTCTCCCAGGTGTTGATGCAGGGGTCTTCCTGGTCGCGGATGCTGAAGGTGCACTTGTCCAGGCAGGAGAAGTCCTCTTCGATCTTACCCTGGACGGAGATCTCGTAGTGGTCCTGCAGGTTGGTGCCGACACCGGGGAGATCGCTAATGACCTTGATGTCGAACTTCTTGAGCTCATCGGCGGGCCCGATACCACTCAGCTTGAGAATCTGGGGGGAGTTGTAGACACCGCCGGCAACGATGACCTCACGAGAAGCAGTAGCGGAACCGGGTTTACCAGGAAGAGCAGAGCGGGACATAGGGCTAGCCTTGTAGAGGTGCTCACCGTCGAGGAACTCGACACCGTTGGCGCGGGGAGGGTCCTCAGACTCGTCGAAGGTGACCTTGGTGACGTGGGTGTTCATGCGGACATCGAGAGGGTACTTCTTGGTGCCATCAGCGTTCTTGGCATCGCGGACCTGGATGATGAATTCACGAGGACCGTTACGGTGAGCATCATCAGTGGCGATAGGGATCTGGTAGTAGCCGGGGTCGGTGTCACGGCTCTTCTTATCGGCGTTGGCATCGCCAAGCAGAAGAGTACCGAAGTTCATCAGGGTGTTGGTGAAGTTACCAAGAGCGAAGGCACCACCAGTGAGCATGCTCAGCAGCTGGGTGTCCTTCAGGACGATACTGAGGGGAGCGGTCTCGGTCGACAGCCAGCCGTCGTAGCCGTGGCCTTCCTGCAGGGGCAGAGAGTAACCGTTGTTCTCCAGTTTTTCGAAGTACTTGCGCATGTTGTCAGGAGTCCAGGAGTTATCACCAGTGATAGTCTCGATGTACTCGAAGTCGGACTGGTGGGGGTAAACAGCAATTAGGGCATTGTGGGCGGTGCAACCACCGAGGGTACCGGTACGAGGGTAAAGAGTACCCTTCAAGGTTGAGCCCTCGGGAGGGTTGAGACCGGTGTAGACGCTACCATCGGGGGTATCGTAGCTGGCCTTCCAGTCACGAGCCTGACGCTCCTCATCCTCGTAGTGGTGGACGAAGAAGTTCCACGCAAGCTTCTCATCCTCGGAGGCTCTGGCAGAGTAGGCCGGGATGGTGTAGTTGTAGTTCTCACCCTGGTCGTCACCAGCCTCGAGCAGCAGCGTCTTGTGGCCAGCCAACGCGAGACGGGCGGCAAGGGGACCACCACCAGCACCAGAACCGACGACGACATATTCATAGCCGGTGATGTTGACGGCCTTGGCCAGGCCTGATGTGGCAACCAGCAGGCCAAAGATGTACGAAAGAATCATATTAAAAAGAGTGACTGTGAGTGAGTTATCCTTTCCATCGATGCGACCGGCGGCGCCTTATATGCCAAGTCCTCTCTGTATCTCATTCTTCCCCCCTGGAGCCATCTGCGAATCTCTCAAAACCGTTGAAGACTTGCCGTCGTGGGGCGGCTGTCATGCCGCGGGCGCCACTAGCCTATGGCGATCTACCCACACCGAGCTTAGGCGGCGCGGCCTAGTACATTTCAGGGGTGCAATTCCCGACAGATCGACGATAGTTTAATTCGAACAATAGCCCTGGCCTGCCATCCCTGCTGATCAGTGGGACACTCCCCACGCTGTTCGGGGGTATGTCCTTTTTTCGCACGAATCTGGACTGACAGTTCGCATATGCCAAGCCCCATCGGCGGAGATTTTACACAGAATCCATTCACGATGATTCGAAGACGAGACCCCGTACACCGTCTTTCTCCCCCTTGCACATCCGATCCTAATCGATCCCCCTGCATCTCGCTGGGCCAACCATGCAGATGTGGCTTTCCCGGCCCCGCTGTTGCGCAGTGCAGGTCATATTGTACCACTACCCAACATGGCTTAGATGCACTTGGGTGCCAGATGCGGACTTCCGTCGGAATTTCCGTCCGCAAATCTCGATTTGACACTTGCAGACGTTTCGCTCTCGGTTTCGGAATGTGGGTTCCCGCTCTGAGGCCCCTCCGACTTATTATAGCTCAAGGGCTGCTATCCGCTTGATTTTCCTGTGGGGTACCCGGTGCCTCCGAGAAGTCGCTTAGCGATCAAGTGCCTCGGCCTCGTGGTCTCCCTTTTGCTTGTGCTGAAATGGCTTTCCAAGGTTAGTTGAGGCCTGAGCGAGGTTTTCCATAGGTACTGGAAGTGTTCTCAATTGGGATAAGTAATACTTTTTTCCAGCATGCGAACGGCTAGAACTCATCCCCTTTGATTGTACAAGTACGAGCATGCTCTGAAACTGAATAACGCAGACTGTCTCACTTGCACGATTCCACACAACTAGGGCAAGGATTAGCAGAGCCGCGTCGACACGAGCAAGCGGGGTAGTAGTTGTGGGCTCCTCTGTGCTAGCGAATGCGCTGCTGCAGCTTGTGAAACTAGAACAGTTCTTAGTGTCTTCGTTGCATACCCCTGAATCACCTCTGGTGCAACGAGGAATTGATTCGGTATGTTGTGTCCGTCCAAGGGGCAAACAAGATCTCGGGTATATTCTGCCATACATACATAACAACATGTAACCTCTGCCAACTTTGGAAGATTGCCAGGTCCACCGAGGCAGTTGGGCCCACTTGGTCATATTCTTCTAACGGTTTCGGGAAAAACATAACATGATCTCAACAAGTTTTTCTTTGGCGCCTAGAACGTGTTCAGAAGTCGGTCGAGACGAGTACGAGTACCGTCTCATATTCAAAATTATACATGGTCAGTGCAATCGGATGCATATTAACCGTTTGTATTGCTCTTGACGGTCATGATCCCAACTTCTGGAGGTGAAAATATGCATGGGAAACTTTCCTTCTCTGTGGTCCCGGCAATAAATCAGGAATAGATCCGGATTTCGTAGGTTTGTTTTGTACCTAAGTAGAATGCATACTCTGTACGAGTACGAGTACAAAACATGGCGACCTCGGAACTTCAAAGGTTTAGCAAGCGAGAACGAATCCTTCCGGGTCTAAAAAAGTAATTAAGCTTTGATTGCTTGGTGCATTGCTCTGGTAGGCAATGACGTGCAAGTATTTTCCCAAAGGGGGACAGCGCCTTGATCCACTCAAACTAAACGTCAAATCTCGGAAGTGCTATTCCAAATATGTTCATGGACTTAACAAATATTCACAAATCGCCCGGGGAACACCTGGGCATGTGATAAAGTCTACGAGTACATTGGGTGTTGTGATTGCTCGCCCTGGAGCCCTGGGGGTTTAACCTCAATCTTGTGTGACTAGTAGACGTGCAAAATCTTGATGAGATATCCATGAAATTCTGAATTTTAGAATATTCCCACAACATTGAAACTACTATGCATGTTTTTCAAGTTGTAGAGTCCTGGAAAGTAGACCAACAACGTCGGTCTCCCTCGTGGTCAATTAAACAGCCCGAATTTCCGTCCGGCAAAGCCCAGCGCTCCGAAGGATGCCGTAACTCCGGTGAAAACGATGAGACCCCCGAAGTTCGTTCCATAGCCCATACCAGCAGGGCTACCGGCCCAGGGCCACTTTGTGTCGATCAAAGCCGCGCTGATCGGACCGCATACAATGGAGCCAACACCCCGACTAGCCGTTAAGATTCCGAGTAGAAGCCCACCTGGGGCGGTTTCGTCGGCGTTCCTGACCACCTTGATGATACCAGGCCATGTTGCACTAGCACTGCCAGCCACGATCCCGTACAGAACGGCAAAGACACACAATGGTGGCAAAGACGTGGATAGGCCCCATATCACGAATACCCCCACAACAGTGCATATCGTAGTGACAAATATTACGTTCGCAGCGTGCCAATGGTCAGTCCAGTAACCCACCAGCACAAATCCAATCACCGTGCCTGCATTCAGGGATGTCAATGGAGCTGTGATCCCGACGTCGCTGGCTCCCACCACTGTCCGGGAATATGTTGGCAAGTAGAGGGAAGGCGCAAAATAACCTATGCTCTGCAGCAAACTTCCGAGTTGAAAAATGATGAACGCTGGCGACCGAAGGAATTTGAAGCTCAGATTCTGAGGTCTCGGGGCAACGTCGACGCCGATCGGAGTCCGCGGCTTCACGAATGGCAAGAATGGACACACTAAAATGATCATTCCGACCGACCAGGCCCACATGGTGACCTTGAAGGAAAATCGCGAGAGCGCCCAGCGAAGCAGGAGTGGGAACACTGTTCCAGCGACACCGCTCCCGGCCTGCATCTAGTTAGTTCAACTTCTTTCTTGACCTTCTGCACATGTGATGAACCTACCCAGGCTACCCCGTATGCAAGTCCTTTCCTCCGGACGAACCATTCATCGATGAAAATCAGGACCGGATAGTATAGCATAGAGGCACCGATCGGGTATACGATGCCCTGCGTCAAGATCAGGTGCCATACCTTTGTGGCAAAGGAGGAAGCAAGTGTGCCAATCACAGCAACTCCGAGTCCCAGCAGAATGTTGATGCGAAAGATGTGTGGCCATCGCTGAAGTAAAAACAAAGTGATTGGCGAAGCAAGGTAAAGGACGCCCTGGTGAGATTTATCAGTAAGTAGGAGGGGACCAAGATATATGCCTTCCACGTACCATACAGCACGACCCTACCAAAGAGACGGTAGATTTATCATGGGAGAATGGCTCGGTCGACGTATAGTAGTCCTGCAAGACACCGACTGAAAACGCAGATCCTGGGCAAGTCAGTTCGATCCCTAATTCATCCAAGGGGATTCCAACGTACCCCATACTACAATTTCAAGCACAAAGGCACCCATAAGCAAAAGCCAAGCATCTTTGCCTGTATCTACCGGGGGCAGAGAAAACTCACGGGCGCCAGCGGGCCCGTCATCTGTGAGATTTGGTTCATGGTTTTGGTTGGCAATGATGTGCTGCAGCTCTATATCGGATGGCGGGGCCAACTGAGTTGTATCTGATTTCGTTGAGTGGCGATAGTGAGCCAGACGAGCGGTTGAGCTTTGCAGGCCATGGTCCATGTCAGCTGCGATTTATCTCCAAGGTTTCACTACAGCGGTCGTATGTATAGTGTCAGTTGTCGAAGGAAATTTCACTGCTCAAGTGGGAATGTTCAAGAGATTTGACATGAGTTGGAAGGCCCAGGTGTTCCACCAATCCCAAACAATTGCCTCTTTCGGAAGACGAACCCGCATCGGCTTCATGATCCCCAAATAGACAAGAGGTCCATTCCCTGCCAGCCATCTGATAGTCTCTTCAAAGGACTATTGATTCAATAAAGCTGATTGGATTGGTTGATTGTAGGAGCTCTAGAGAGAGAAGCTGGAAGAGACTGAAATATCTACAAGAGTGGGAGCAAACATGTCAAACACAGTGCATAAGAGAGGTATCCCGGGGTTTCCAGGGCTGGCTAGAGCTCCAGAGGTCTTTCTATGTATCCCTGACACTTATGTACGGGTTTATCGGCTGGATAAATTTAGAGAATCTTGCTTGCAACCCTCGTGTCACTCCCCGTCCTCTCCTCTGGGCTATGAACGGGTTGGCTCCCTCCAGGGTTAGGAGATAAAACACCCTTGATGTTTCGGGTGAAGCTTGAATTTGGACAGTGACTTCAGCACACCCGTGGCGAGGATCTGCGGCCACGAAGACGGCAGTATCGCTTTGGAAATTCTAAAGTATGGATGAAATGCCCAAACATACCCCGCCAAATATACATCCGTAGACATTCATTTTCCATCCCGAACTCTTTCTAAAACATCCATCTGTGATACTGGAACAAATCTTTTACTGATCCTATGCGGTACCAACACTTAAGTACCAGGACACGACTTTAGGAAGCTGCTCAAGTGGGGGGAAAAACTTGAGAAGTAGAGAAGAAGGGAAGAAGTGGGATTGGTACGCAGGATCGCCTGGGGCGTTGGAGCCTGAGGCATAAGTTCCGCCTGAGGTACCAACATGTCTTGCCTCACACCATTGTGATAAGCTCAAATGGTCTAAAGTAAATCGCGAGTACAACCAGGGTGCTAGGCGTTCTCTGGACCTCCAACAGAGCACCTAGGTAGTGCTCAAGTGGTGTAACGCACCTGGCAGTGTTGATAGAGCCACGTGATTGAGATAGGCTAAGCCTAGCCGGGTAAGAGTAATAAGATGAACCAATCAGAAAGTGCCTTGGCTCGGAATAGCTTTAGTCCCGTAACAAGTGGGTCTGTATTCGTTCGAAATTGAGGGGTCTCCAAGTGTATGTCCTCTTGAGGGTAGAATAGGTAAGTACATACTCGTACTTGAGTATTGCTACACTGCATTCCGCTGATCAAAGTTATACATACTAAATCTGAGCAATAATACAGTGTGTGGAGAAACGGGACGGATCTGGACTCTGTGTACATTGTACTCGTACATATGTACATGTTGAAGCAGGGGCACCATTATGCGAACCAGATACCCCACTAGGGAGGCAATGAGATCTACAAGAGAGAGGCCCTAGGGGAGGGGTAGTGTGTACATGTTTTACAAGCCCGGATCGTAGACTAAGTTGTCTACACGCATAAATAGGGCACCTAGACGATCACATGGTTTGGGACCGCACGCAGTTCTCCCACTACAATATGTACTTGTACGTACATGAAAAACGACGCGTACAGGGTGACCAAAGATTATCTATGACGTTCTCTCCGCTCTCATTCTGCAAGTAACCTATCATATCCATGGATCATGGTTGCGAATACAATTATGTACGAGTAGTCTTCGTTCAGCTTGACGATCTGTGCAGAGGCAGCTGAGAAGACCTGTACCTACGAGTAGACTCAGCTCAACCCCACCTGAACTGTGGAGCTGAGAACATGACGCAAACTTTAGAACAGCTCGTGATGATCGATCTCGCTTGGAAATACTTAGGGTATATAAAATGATATCCCCTTCCGACTCTAATCCCTGAAAGTTATCTTCCTGCAAACTATCCCCCGTGCAGTATTGACAACATCTCGCTAAAATGACTGTATGCTAACCATGATATCCAAAGACCCTGTCCGTCTACTGTGAGACGCTAACTTGGCTCGATCAGGTAATCATTCGCTTTCCATCTCCCATTGAGTTTGGCGAACACGGAGAAAACGTCATCAAGCAAGTTTATACAAGGTATTCAGGCCAAATACAACAGCTCTTCTAGGGATATTTCAATAGGGCCCTCGAAGACGCGGGTTTTCCGGACGGCAGCTACCAAATTACCCAGGACTTTCCTCCCGTTTTCATTATTCCAGAGTAAGTACTGAAACCACTCGCTACTTAGCAGCCTTTTTGGGTACAGTAAAGAGGGCAACCAGAAAAAGAAATATTCCCTGCCTCCCCCTTCCCGCAACCTCAGCTCTCAAAACCTTTAAATGATAACATTGTATCCATGGACTATTGACTGATTTTTCCTCCCCCCTCAGGATGACAGATGACTCCACTACTATTGAAGAACTGAGAAAGTTCAATGGAGTTACTGTTGATGTCGAGTAGAATGAAGAGTAATAATGTATCGCTTTTAGTGAATACAAATTTTGCACAAGTTTCTTGTACCAGATAGTTTGTATCCTCCGTACAGGGTTTATCAACAATTCCTGGGATTATTGCAATCTTTATCACCGTAATACTTAATAGGTATTTCACTGTCTTAGCTCTCGAGGTCAAGCGACCTGATGCTCACTTTTCCGAGTGGCCATCTTCGGGTTCGCTCCGTATTTGTACTGGGAATGCTTGGTACGGCTATACTTATCTGAGGCGGGGCACTTGTGGGCGAGCACAATTTTGCGAACCAGGTAATCCACTAGGGAGGCAGTGAGATCTACGAAAGGCGAGAGAGCTCGAGAAGTTGACTGAACAGGATTGCTTACACAACATTGCTTTATCCACCTAGTTAGACACACTGTAAACTCCGTGCATTCGAGCTCTAAAGTTTCTCATGTAATCTCTCCCAGCCCCCGAAATCAGTTCAGCCTGGTTGAAAGTACTACCTCCGTTTCATTCCGAGCCCTCGGGTCAGACCGGAAAACCTCAAAGTACTACGAGTAGAATCCCCATTCTCTGCTGTGAGTGGCGGATTATTCATCGTAAATTTGAAGTTGGAAATTCTAGAGGTTCATACTATGGAGTACAGATGACACCATGCAAGTGAGATCCTCTAAAGTTCTTTGAGATTTAACATTGAAGGTAAGCAGATCTTAGTCTGAGATCGCCTAAGATCTTGCTCTTCTAATCCGAGCTTTACATAGGCTCTTAGATCCGTTTCGGGGTCTAGGGATAATCTCTCGGTTTAATGATCGAAGCTAAAGTGATCCAGAGAGTTTCTAGGCGTAGTCTCCAGCGGGTTTCATCTTATATACGTGTAGATATGAGAACATATTATTATTCATTTATCTCATCGATTCAGAGAGGGGGAGTCTCGTGAGAGTCACGTCCGTTGAAACTGGATAACAAGTTAGCTCGGACTTCGAGGCTGAGGTGAAAGTACTTACCGAGACAGTGCTTCAGGGTACCGGGGGCCAGGCACCTCGGTGCGCTTGACGAGTTCGCGAATATCCTGAACCTCCTTCTCGGTCAGCTGGAGGAGAGCGCCTCCAGCGTTTTCATCCATGCGAGAAGTGGACTTGGTGCCGGGAATGGGGATAATGTCAGGGCCCTGAGCCTGCAGCCAAGCGAGGGACACCTGGGCAGAGGTGGCACCGTGGGCCTTGGCGATATCTTGCAGACCCTGGACCAACTCCATGATCTTGGGGAAGTTCTCCTGAGAGTACTTAGGGAGCATGCGGCGGAAGTCGTTCTCGGGAATATCGTTAACGGACTTGATCTGTCCAGACAAGATTCCGCGACCAATGGGGCTGTATGCAACAACGGTAATGCCGAGCTCGCGGCAAGTGCTCAAGAGCTCGGACTGGCCCTCGATGTCCAGGGCAAAGGGACTGTATTCCACCTGGTATGCGCTAATGGGGTGAACTGCGTGAGCGCGGCGCACAGTGGCAGCCGAGCACTCAGACAGACCAATGTAGCGGATCTTTCCTTGGCTGTGTCGAGATTAGTGCTGGTCTGTGTCAAATTCTCACAAACAACTCACTTCTTGAGCTCGACCATAGCTTCGATGGTCTTCTCAATGGGAGTGATACCGTCAAGACGGTGGCAGTAGTATAGATCGATAGTGTCAATGCCGAGTCTCTTCAAGCTCGTTTCACACGCAGCTTGAACGTGCTCAGGGTCGGATCGGACACTGATTTTACCCTCATCGGGGACCAAACCAAACTTAGTGGCGATAAAGATGTCGTCGCGCTTTCCGGAGCGCTTGAACCATTCTCCAATAATGTCTTCACTGTCCTGGTAGGCATCTGCGGTATCCCAGAATCGCTGACCTGTGCTGTGTGCGTGGTCCAAGAATGCGACCGTCTCATCGAGAGGGCCAGCCTGACCATAGGCGCCACCAATGCTCATGAGACCAAGGCCCATGGCACTGACCTTAGGGCCATCGCGGCCAATAGAACGGAGAGGGGCAGACATCTTGAATCAGCAGTTTGAAATGTGTGTTCAGAGTAAACAAAAACAAATCCTCTTTCGTTGCGCGGAGGGAATCTTTATATGGGGCCTGTGGAGAGAATTGATGTATCCAAGAAGCTAGCAGAAGATCCACGAAGAGTATCCAATTGTATGGGCCATTCAGGCTTCAGTTTCCAAGTGATTTTATACTCTTCACCCGATTCATCACACTAGCCTGGGGCTTGGCGATCTGAATTGACCAATGGAAATGCGTAGTTTCCGAGACACCCCACACCGGGTGAAAACCTACACTCCAGCCAATCAGAGCTCGTAGTTTCCGAACCTTCACTTACCGAAATTCCACCTTCCTGCCAGTTGAACCCCCTATTTTGACATCCCGAGGCCGGTTTCACTGAAAGACATGACAAGATATGCAGGGATCTTCAGAAAGTCAGCCACAAGTGCCCGGTAGACGAAAGGTTAAAACAGGCTGCAAAACTTGCAAGTAGGCCTCACTAGTCCCAATCTAAAACCCCTGGTCTAACCTCTGCAGAGCTCGCCGCGTCAAGTGCGATGAAAGTCGCCCCGCTTGCCGTCGATGCGTCTCCACAGGACGAGTGTGCAATGGCTACGGGATTTGGGGTGGTGGTGACAGTCAGAGCCAGATCCAATGCAGCCAGTCCTTGTCGATCCACCGCGCACCCGTCCCTCAGGGCGGCCTGACCTCAGACGAGGAGATCTCATTTGATTGGTTCAGGGAGAAAACGACCAAGCAGTTTGCTGGTGTCTTCACTTCAGATTTCTGGGAGACTCTTGTGTTCCAAGCGAGTGTTCAGGAGCCTGCAGTACGACATGCTGTTGTTGCACTATCGGCCGCACATAGATCCGACGATAGTCGTGACCCGAGAGCCCTTGCTGCCCCACGTGGATTCAACGCCGAGCATTTCATGCTGCAACATTATAATAAGGCCATCCATCACCTGAGATCCAGCCCAGTAAACGACACCACACCTGACATCCGCGTGATTCTGATCACCTGCATGATCTTCGTGACGTTGGAGTATCTGCGCGGTCAATATGCATCAGGGAACTCCCATCTTCGATATGGAATTCAGCTTTTATCGGAACTTTCCGCGAAACGGTCAAAAAGCAGCACATCATCCGAAAATCCCTCGAGGTGCATGACACAAGCAACAGACTTTGCACACAACGCTTTGATTGACTCATATGCCCAACTCACCATTCAATCGGCCATGTTTGGCATCTTTCCCTCCCACATGTGTATAACGACACACGATTCCCAGACTTACGCGCCCCCATATAATTTCAAGTCGATCATCGATGCACGAAAATCACTTGACGACCTGTTGCATAAAGTGAAATGCCTTAAGGAAGACTACCATGAAGCATTAGAAACAGGAAACACGATTGATCATAGCAAAGCGTCAGCAACCCAAGATTCAATCCAGAAAGATCTCCTCGCCTGGCGCCAGGCTTACGACTTTATCCTCCCCTCCTTGCAGTCTACCATGGATCCTCGTGACCGGGCTGGCGCGATAATCGTCCGATTATACCACGAAATGGTAACAGTGATGGCGGCCGTGAGTCTATCAGAAAGCGAGATGGATTTCGACACATATACGGACAGGTTCTCCGCAATAATCGCAGGTGTCCACGAGCTCTCTCAGATCTGGTCTGTTTCAGCTACCGAAAGTTGGAATCCCGGGCCAGGCGTGGGGAATGCGGACCCTCGCGACCGCGGCTTCACGATCGAATCAGGCTATATCCCACCTGTATATTACACAGCGATGAAGTGTCGGATCCCACATATTCGGCGCCAAGCAATTCAAGCTCTGCGACTCACACCGCGCAGAGAGGGCCTGTGGAATGGCCCCCTGTTGGCGGATGTGCTTGAGGAAGTCACCGGCATCGAACAAGGGCAAACCCATGTCGATCATCCGAATACTGAGCTTCGGTGCCAAGTCAGTGAGAGCGCAGGGAATCGATTATGCGTGCCCCATGTGGATCAAATGTCCCGAATTTCGGATGTCAAGGTCCTCCTCCCTGACGCGATGGACGAAAGAACAGGAGATACATTCATCAGCTATAAAAAGATCACCTTGGACGGGGGCTGGGCAACATTCGAGCAAAAGATTGGATTCAGCGCTGCAACTGGTTGACAATATGATCTCTACCGAGGAAAGGCTACCTGGCACCGGTTGTCCGACATGGATGTCACCAGGTCTGAAGCCACCACCCATCTGACTGAACGCCTTGAGACTCAGCTTCCATCTGCGATGGGACCGACGCCCTCAAAACTCAAATGAACACTGTCATCACGTCAGCGGTTTTCTAGCACGTCGAGCTCAGATAAATTCCGTTGACGATGGATGGATCCATGGTGCAGTCCAGAGCCCCGGAGCTTCAAGTTCGGGTGCATAGAGTGGAGACATATCAAGAGGCATCTCAAGGGAAAACTCTGCACCGAACGCAACCGATGATTGCCCACCGAGGATAGAATCATACTGGGTCGGCTGGCTTAGCATCGCTTCCGCAGCCAAAGTTTCCGACGTGGGCACAGATGCCCCTTCTTCTCGGGCCCTGCCACCAAAAAGGGAGGCCAGAATTCTATAACCATTGATTTAGCGAATGAATTCAATCTCTCTTTGGAAATACCCACCCAGATGCTTCTGACGGATCACTTGAGACGATCCTGTTTAGAACACTGCGAACCTCGGGAAGCTGGGTATCCGAAGGTTGCTCGCCATAGACCAACAGGTTTGAGAGATCCTCGAACAGTCGCAAAAAGGGTGCGATGGCTGGCAAGACCCGAGTATATACGGACAACGCACTCAGACAGGCACTTATCGCCTGATGGGTCCGTCGAGCCGTTAGTACATTTGGTGAGATCGCCAGACATTGTAACAAAGTAACGCCACAGTAAAAGCAATGGTACACCGTGATGCGATCCGGTGGTGTTTGAGGATTCAGACTCAATGTTTTCGCGTTCTGTTTAAGTCTGAGACTTTGTTTCAGACCACAGGAAGTCTTCATCACATACCGAGCACGCCTCAACCGCGAATTCAACGCACAGCCCTATCAAATCAGGATCAACCTCTTTGGCCATGAGTATTGGTCGGATCAAGAGGAGTACAGCCTGAGTGTATGTCGCCTGTACACGATCGGGGCTTTGTTGCGGAAATCGTTTCGAGTATCGCTCATCTGGTGCTTGCTGCTTCCACTGCCCAAGCTCGTGAAGGATTCCTTGCACCTCGGTCGATGACGGAACTTTTGCGTGCGGGCCGGTGTATCTCGTTCTAGGATCGTGAGCTTTAAAGAAATCAAGACATCGGACGCTCTTACAGTATCTTCGACCGGATTCGGTACACGAGTAGATGATGCAAGGCAGCAGTCATCTGCGAACGATGTCAGAACCAAAACAACACCTTGACGTGGAGAGCCTGAATCAGTACCGTGGTGATTGCCTTATTCTCGCAATTCCCGAACGAATGGTTTTGGAGTAGCTGCATTCGCCGAATCTCGTCTTGATCGGTACAAGTATCATCGAGATCAACCGGAAGCTGGAATTGATCGTTAGGAGAAAAAGTGTAAGCGCCAAGGTCTAGACAGAAGAAGCACACCTCAATGTCTATGTCCAGATCACTGATGCCAAATGGCAGCTTTGACCAAATGGCCAGCGATCTAAGTCAAAGGTTATCCTCGATTTTCTTTGCAGCCCGTAAGCGATACAACGTGTAGACAAACCTATCAAAGCAATATGCACACCAGAAAAATCGTTTCCGAAGCTCCATGGTATAAGGATCTAGCATTCGTGATTCAGTCGAGTTGTCAAGTGTACGGTGATATCTTAGCTTGACGCAAAGGCGTAAGGCCAGGCCAACAAGGTGCCTCCCGAGAATGTCAGAATAAATCAGTTATGGAATAGGCGTGACAAACCAAATGGGAGATTCTGTTTGTGCTCTGAAATAATATTGTACCAAACAAAGAAGCGCTTGTACAGTTGCCATGTCTTGTAAAGACATCACCGCAGGGAGGTAGGTTCGCGCCCGAGCAAAGTACGCCTGTTATGATTAGCGGACGTGGATGGACGAGTCTTGCTCCAAGATCACACTTGCTTCTGTCGTTTCCTCTGGGTCTGGAATCAACCGAGCCCCAATGGCATATATTATCCAGACAAAGAAGGCACCTGAGATGATGTGAGCTGTGCCCTCTGGCTTCAGGAATGGGTGTCTTTACCCGTTTGTGCCTTGATTGGGCCCTCGGGAGACATGAGCGCAAAATTTTCTCGTTGCTGGTGCCAAATGCCCAGCTGGTTCCAGTCAACTATAGAGTATCGAGCTTGGGTATAAAAGTATGCCGCGTCAACAAGCTTTCTGGCGCCGTTACTCGAGGGTAGTGCAGGAAGGGTATCGACCTCAGGCTGGGGCACGCCTGTGCGCCCGTAAACCATTTCGATCATTGTCAAATCGGCGGCTGGTGTCTGTGCCTCACGGATTGTGGGGAGTAAACTCATTGGAGTTGACTCATGCGGCTTGAGATGTTGCTCCGATGCAATGGGCAAGGAGCTTTGGCTTGGGTGGATGCCTGGTCGATGTTGTTGCGGTGAGGTAGGTAGCGCATTGTCAAATGTCTGATACGGGGATATCACTGTCTCGGGTGTGAGACAGTGCTTGCTGGTAGGTGTAGATTGGTGGGCTTGAGCGACCTGAAGCTGTGTTTCCAGACTCTTGATTCGCGTTTCCAGTGTCGCGACATATCTATCCTCGTTTCAATGATGAGCAACTTGGGAAATGCAAAAGACTTACGCGTCACTTCTCAGAACGCCGTCCGGAGGAACATCAAAGTGACATTCTATCGAGCAGGTTAGTTGTGTCCAAAAGTTAATTAGAGTGTAGAATTATGTACCTGTAGATGACTTGAAGCAAGCATTGCATTTACTTTCAAGTCAATAATATGCCAGCAAAATGCGTTGTGAATTTTCACCTACCCATTGATGTTGTCAATATTGTAATGACATTTAATTTTTCTTCGTTTGCAATAGCGACCTGACAGTGAATGTAAGTCTATAGCCTCGTTTGGTGATCGAAGGTGGGTACTTACACGCATTAGTGCTTCTTCTATGGGCGCTTACTCGTAGCGCAGTAGAGCGAGATTTCGTTTGCTTTTGTGGGCTTGCCTTACGGCCTGGGGCAGGTTGCTCCTGATCTTCGGAATCCTGCATGTTGTAGGAGGAACTCGCAAATAATATTTTTGTCGGGGGTAAGGAAGCCGGGCACAAGAGGAATAGGTATTCTAGGGCTGTCTGGCCAACTGCGACGAAAATAGACAGATTTTGGGACGTTGGAAGCGCGGCTCAATTATGACTTGAGAGTTTGAAAGGCGTGACCAAGAGATAGCATGCACCAATAACGCAAGGGTTGATTGCCCAGGTGGGGAGCTACATGGGTCAACGCCAAATCATGTTGAGAATGTCGTCTGGGGAAAACTAAGAAAGTCAAAGTGAGAGATATCAGAGAGGGGTGCCCCGCAAGACTCTTTGGGACTTCAGGAGACCGCCGTGGATGAATTCCAGTACTTTTGTATCGAAATTGTCGACGTTGTTGGACTTGGACTCCCGGGCCTTAAGCCGTTTTACCAACTGAATGACAGGTCAAACACCGTTTCATCTATATCTTCCGATCGCGGTATGTTTCCAGACACTTTGTAGATCATAGATAAATCGACAGCCTTTGATTTGTGAACTGATAGCAACATTGTAACCCATACTCTGTACAATTAGAATCCAATCCAGTTCATTTGACACGCGACATCCAACGGAAATGCCGTTACCCCACTTCTTGTTGGTGCATCAAGGCCAATGAATTGATAAGAGCATTGCCCTTGTCTCCAGCCAATAATAAAAGCATGGCTCGTATGTGATGTGTTTAAATACCGTACTCATACTCCATATTGAGACGGGATACGAACTGGACGGGGCACAAAGGTGTTCAGGAGAACCAATGTGGTTTCTACAACTAATTTCGCTCTTCTAGGGGTGACGACAAATTTTCTCTCAAAATTCAACTAATGCAGACTTTGGTTGACAAACAACCGGAGGATGCCCATGTGCTTCAAAACATTTAAGCGTAATAACACTGACGGTAACATTGCCGCTTCGGGTTGTGATCGGCTGCCCGGAGACAGGGTTCAAAGGAGGGAGCAAGAAGACACGGCATTTCGAGATCAAAATTTAGTCATTTGTGTTTTCGATGTTCCTAAATATCATTCCCGTGTTATGCCTACTGCCATCGGCGTGTCCGGCGACCAGAGGGTTCGTGCCGCGTACAACCGTTCTTGTTTGTGCCAAATAAGCAGTCAAAACATGAGCATTCCTCGAAGAGACGTGACTTGTCGCCCAACAAGCCGGATGGGAGCCTTCACTGGTCAACCACATGAACAAGGAGGTCGAGGTGACGGAGAACCACACTTTGTTGTTGGCATCTTCACCCCTGGAATGTCGAGTGCCAGCGCGCACTGTGTGAATCAAAAGTCGGACACAGTAAGTCAAAAATGAGCATGATCCGCCACGATGGGGTAAGCTTTCTCATGGATGCGCTGGAGATCCTGTGGGATTTATTTGATCTGGGCTGGCTAAATCATGAGCTTAGCGGGATATCCAGGCCTACCTTCGGCTTGAATTATAGGAGCGTCTCTCTGTGTTCTTTAAGTGGTGTACGGAGGAGGGCTTGAGGGCTCAGCTCAATGTTGCTTCCATTGTCTCGGGTCTCTGGAACATCGACAGGGGACTTCAAGGTTTAAATAACTAGCGACGACCCGAATGATCGTGCCAAGACAAAAGTGCCATCGGTGAGTCTAAGCGAGGACAAGATCTCCTACCTTGTGGTACTGAGTAGTCTGTGTCAATTCAGAAAGGCCATCTTGGGCTTTACTCTGATCCATCGGATTTCCAGTTCCGCAGGGGATACTCAAGTAATCTGGAAGTTAGAAATTCAATAGACACGTCCGCTGATGAACTCCTGAAAGGACGGACCCATGGACATGTCGCAGTACGCGGACACCTGGATGATCGGCCCTATTATTACTCCGTACGGAGTATCTTCCTAGGATATACCTATTTTTTGCTAGAGATGAGTGCGTAAAAGCCTAATTCTAAATATGAATCTCACTGAGTGATAACGGCTTGAGAGAGCTATATAGACCACCAAAGTCTTCCATATTCTCTGACTTAAGTAGGGAGATCAACTTAAGAACTTTAGAACCAGGAAACACTCCTCTTCTCTGCCCAGACTCTCTCTCAATACAGAGCTAGCTCATCTCAAAGCAACATGAAGATTTCACTCGCCTCTATTATGTTGCTGCTCTCCGTGACAGCTCTTGCGATCCCTAACCCGGAAATACACAGCCAGAATACATCCTCTGACGCAATGAACGTCCTGGAAGCACAGAAGGGTTGCTCCGGCAAAAGACGTAACAGCGACAAATGCTCTGGAAAACGTCTACGTCCACAGAACAGTTTCCATCAATGGTCAGACATAAATCGCCCGCCTGCTGACTTTCAATATACTAACTTTGGTTATAGCAAGAGATCGAGTGGCAAATGCTGTGCCAGGAAAAAGAACGGATCTGGTGGATTGAATGTAGCGAACGGCCAAGGCCGTGAAGACTGCGGCTATTGTTTCTCAGGAAAATGCCAGGCATGAATAAATGTGTATTGAGAGCAATCCAGCAGTAATCAAATCATATGTTATATGAAACACTCAGAATCCCCATCATTGGTGTGGCGAGCGCGACTCATCTCCCATGGAATGTTGATCGGACTTGACCATATGAAGCTTTTTTTGTGCCCTCATCACTGTTGAGGATTAGCCATTGAACGTAGGAAGAGATACTTGGACATCTTACGGATCATTGTTTACTCTCACGATCTGTCCTTCAAGAACGGTGTGGCTGTCTCGCAATGTAGATCGTCTCCCGAAAAGTCGCCATGGCCCACTGAACACGCGCTCGATCTCTTCCACGCTAAGCCCGGCAATCTCTGGCACTAAAAGATAAACATAGAGAAGTGCAGCTCCACACCATGCTGCGAAGAAAACAAATGCGCCCCAGTTGTTTGTTCGTGCAAGCAGCGACGGCAGTGCAAATGTCATGGAGTAGTGAAACAACCAGTGGAAGGTCTGGGTTATCGCAGCACCAAAAGATCGGATTCGGTTTGGCCATAGCTCGCCACCAAATACGTACGGCAGTGTGAGAAGGCCTGCAAGTGGTACGTGATCAGCATTGGATGTAGATGGGGGTATCTTTCTTTTTTGTCTTACCGATCGTGTACCCGAAAGAGTGGAAGAAGATCGACGCAAGCGCAGCCTCCCCTGCAGCCTCAGCCGGGGAACCGTCATTTTGGGCCTTGATATATGCAGCGAGATAGACATCTGAAATCATTTGTAGAGTGATGCCGATGAAGAGTGTGCTGCGCCGACCAACGACATCGATAAGGAAGAATGATCCGAACAAACCAAAGAAAAATTTTGACATGGCGTACATCCCATTCAAAAACAAATTCCGAGTAGAAGATCCAGCTAACCCAATAACTTTTAAAATGGGTATGAAGTAATTCGTAATGGAATTACCGCCTGAAAATTGGGGGACCGCGTATAGGATCAGGGCTTGTTGAACCCGGCGAAGGTTTGACGGGACGGTGAATGTCTCTCTGGCAAGGCTGACGATTTTAGCGGGTGATGTATCATTTGGATCATGTGCTGCCTTTTCTTGCTCAATTGAATCTTCAATTCTTTCAAATTCCTCTCGAACGCGATCGTGATCAACTGGCAAGCGTCGTAGCCGAACCAGAGCGAGAGCGGCTTCTTCATTCCGATTCATCAATACCAACCAACGAGGTGATTCCGAGAGGAAAAAGCTGGCAATGATCCAGAGTGACATAAAAACACACGGAGAAAACATCACAACCTGATATTGCAATCGACTTGCCGCCAAATGAAGCTGCACCCCGTACACGCAAAACGTGGCGAGCATTAAAGCGAGTGTCATGAACACCGTATACCACGCTGCTAGTAGTCCACGAATTTCCGTCGGTGCCAGTTCAACAATAGAAACAGTACCAGTGACACTCAATGATCCGATCCCCATCCCCGAAATTATTCGAGACGCGTATAATACCGACGGGCCAGGGCTGAATGTTGCGACCAACTGTCCAATAATCCAAATAGCCGTGTACAATCGGAAAGACCATAGTCTCCCAATGCGGTCATTTATGAAAAATGAAATGGCAGCACCCACCGCGTCACCGATATACACGAGAGAGACGAAGTTGCGCGTGGAATGTGCTCCGGCCGTGGAGCTGATGCCGAACTGCTTCTGAAAACCCTCCAATGAAGGTAGAGTAGATGCAGTCCCTTGATCCCATGCTTTTGAATACTATCAGTGAGGTTGAAGTTGATTTCCAAAAGATCAATGAACTCACTCAAAGGGATGGCTGCGGTCGCATACATTGCGCATGATAATAGAAGAATTGGACTTAGCACCACTTCACGCGGGACATCTTTCATCTTTTTGCCATACTGTACGAATGAGGTCTTGTTAAATACTTGTTTCAGGCCCATGCTGAGCTTGACGGACAACGATCCCGCTGATTATCTGTGTTGGTGGATCAAGTTCTGTTCAAATTTGAAGGCCGTGAGGTTAGGAAAAGTATTCTGTAGTTGGCTCCGGGGTGATCCAATGTTCGCACCTGGCCACATTTCAGAAGCTGTGTCTTATACCCTTGCATGAACGCTGCTCCAGATATTCCAAAGCGGGGAACCCAGCTTCGGTAAATCCGCTGGATCAAATTGTTGATATCAATAAAGATATAGATACATCGATTTGGAAAATGCGAACCTGACATTGCCCATTCGTCAGCTAGAACACACTTAGGCATGGATTGTGAAAGTCTTCGTCCATAGAGAGGAAAGTTGAACATAATTGGCTTTTCAACGTGGGACGGAAATGCCGCCCAGTGGCGATGAATATTCCGCAGGCGTGTATAATCTGATAACACTGAGCTGATATGGTCGGAGCTGGAAGGGAGACCGTTATCTTGGAGGATCCATGTAAGAGGAGGCAATACTTAGTGTTCTTTCTAAGTTTGTGTCAATTGATATCCTGGGGAAGTGGACGGAAAAGCCGTGTTTTCTCCAGCTGCGGCAACTCCGCTGTATACCGACCGCAAATAAGAGTCACACATTTCTGGCGTTTTCTTTCCACTTCACGATAGTTTTGGTCACTGTTTTCTGTGTTGAAATTCACAGCACAATATTTTTGCAAAATGAGTACTCCCGATTCTCGCGTCATCATCGTTGGCGGCGGAGTCTTTGGTTTGAGCACCGCACTTTGGCTTGCCCGTGGTGGTTACAAAGATGTAACCATCTTCGATCGCTGCAACTTCGATACCAACTTCTACAATCCTGCTGATGGATGCGATGGTGCGTCAGCTGATATAAACAAGATCTTCCGAGCAACCTACGGCTCGCAAAAACAGTAAACATATATTCCCACATTTGCACCAGATCACAATGGCACTAATCGAAATCAGTTCACAGGATCTCGCGTTGGAAGCTAGAGATATCTGGCTGGAATGGAATCGAGTTATTAGAGAAAGTCAACCATCAGACCTTCCGCAGCCCCTCAGCCCGGAAGATGAATTGCTCACACTGTGCGGTGTGTACCATCTCGCCGATGGACCAAACATGATTCCACGTTATGTGGAGAATCTGCGTGTCATGGAGGACACGGCTCCTAGCTTCCGTGATCTGCAGTTTATCAAGGTAGCTCCAGATGAACGGCCCAAGTGGCGAATGAAGAATTAACGTGTTTCTCAGAATAATGGAGATGATGAGAAGAGAGCCTCGGCGCGTGGTGCTGAATGGGGGAGGAAGTATCATCTCTTTGACCAATTCAAAGATGGGGCAACAAATGGTTTCCTCGACGCTGGGTCAGGGATCACGTTGGCTGATAAAGTAAGGGTTATTGTAACTCGTCGCATGGAAGGCAAATTGACTGTTTGTGGATAGGCATGTGTGTACGCACGTCATCTATGCCAAAAGGCCGGTGTGAAATTTGTCCTTGGGTGCCCCAACGGTGAGCTTGAACAGTTGGTGGTCGAAAGAAGTGGCAACAAGAAGCAAGTCAAAGGTATCAAGACCCGCGATGGATTGACGCATTTTTCTGACCTCGTGGTCCTTGCATGTGAGAGACACCCCTTTGCAATTCGTGAATCGAGACTTATACATCCCAGGCGGTCCGTGGACATCAACTGTTCTCCCCGAGGCACATCGATCAGTCGAAGCGACAATGGGAACTGTTATGTTCATCGATATCCCTGAAGACCGGAAAGATTTGCGTGAAAAATTCCACCCGGACAACTCCCCAGTATGGCGGTTCATTCAGGGCGAAGGGGAAGGGTAAGATATATCCAGCAATAGGTCACAACTCGACTGACATCTTCGATAGAGCGTATGAAGGCGGAGGATTTCCCGTCACGCGGGAAGGGAGGCTGAAATTCGGATTCCGCGCACGAAAGGTGATTATCATCCACATGATGTCATTGAGTTTTGCTCAAGCAAAGGCTCACTTCTCACTGTCAAGTTTACGAATTTCCAAGATCATCCAAATGAAAAGGGAACGTACGTATTGGTTGCGGCTGTGCAAGAATCCATCGCCAACTAATCATATTTGTTCTTTTAGTCGAATCTCGACCCCGCGGACAAAGTATAGCGCAGAGCCGATCCATACCGTGCCGTTGTATGGATTGGAGCTCATGAAGAAAGTGATTGGCGGTTTGTTCCCTGAGCTAGCCGACATTGGCTTTACCGACAGCAGGGTTGGTAGTATATTCATTGCCCCAGAGTGCATTGCTGACATGGGGATCGAAGCTTTGTTGGTACACTGACAGCATTGATAACGAGGTCAGCACAGAGATCTGCAAGCGATGCAAAGCAATAGCTCTGGGATACTGACTTGTGATAGTTCGTGATCGATTTCGTGCCCGGCTTTTCAGATTCGCTCTTCATCTGCACAGGAGGCTCGTGAGTAAACATGACACTGCGTAAGAATGATCTCTAATGTCAGGATCTCAGAGGCCACGGATTCAAGTTCCTTCCAATTCTTGGAAAAGTAAGTGCTACTCCCTCCAAATACATCGAAAGGTGAAGTAGACTTACTCGATTCAGTATGTGAAAAACCAACTCGAACGAACTCCTGATCAGTTCACGTCTATTTGGAAATGGAGAACTGTACAAGAAGGTGAACCGTGTAACGGCTTAGAGGAGGGAGAGGCTGGCCCGCGGGAAATGTCGAAATTACGACTGGCCCAACGTAAGTGTGTGTATCGTCCTTCTTCGCGTAAGACTGACAGAGTCTCTGCAGCCGCAGACTTCGTCTTTTCGTCCAAGGGCTCTACCCACTTGAGTCACAGACTGTCGAACATTGGCGTCAAAGAGAAGTCCCAACTTTAGGTCAGATTGCATATACCTCGTGCGGTGTGAGGAGGCTTGCACATCCAGTGAGAATGATAGAATGAAGTGAGATTTGATACTGGAGACATTCTGGTGATAATAGCTCTCCCCCTAGAGGTCAGGAGAGTAAGAAATTTTTGATTCGACCGAAGGGGAAGAAGTAAGGATGGGGAGGATGTGTGAGAGCCGTGGAGAGAGAGAGAGAGAGAAAGAGAGAGCATGATTCCCCGATCCATGATGTTCCGTTTCTGCCTGATTCTTGCCTTACCTGGATCATGGCAGGCAGAGAACTGATATTCCTAAATTGCTAATACATAGACTATGCCAAATGAAGTTCTTTAAAAAAAAGAAAGAAAGAAACTTAGGAAAAAAACATTGGTGCCCGGTCCTAGATTCGAACCAGGGTCTCTCGAAGGGCGGCCAACACACGGTTCAGCACCGGGTTGGCTTACTTGTAGAACCCAAAAGCTTGAGACTTGAGTCTCAAGCGTAATTTCCCCTTTGGGAGAAATTGGGATACGGGGAGGGACCCGCGGTAGGCGGGAGGGGCCTCTGGCCATTGGCCGGAAGCGATTCACGCGGCCCAAAGGGGATAGTGTCATGTACTGACACGGTAAGATATTAGGAAGGCGGTGGGGACCCCGCCTTCCTAAAAGCGTAGAATACGCTAGAAGTCTTGGCGAGACTGTGAGACTGGGTAAATTACCGGAAGCGGTAATTCTTGGCATGCTATGTGACACGTGACCGTGTCACATGCGTAACATGTGAGCGCATGGGCTTACATCCAATCGACAATTCCAGCGGAATTATTATCTAGGCTGACCCAGCCTGGGTATATATAGCAGGGGTTACCCCCGAATTCAGAAGGACAATTGACTGGGACACAATGGCAATGGAACTGTCCAGGATTGAGACAGTCCTTACTTTTTATAGCCCGGTATGGTCGGCTATGCAGGGCATGCTAGATTTTAGGGATACAGTCCTTTTGTCGATGACATGTAAATCGATGAATCGACTTGTCAGGCGCAAACTCTCGAAGTATCTGAAGGTAGACGATTACTTGGCGTCATACTGCTCGACGCCATCGCAATTACTGATGTTATTGCGCATCAGCGGTGGAGTAATATTCGACGCGGCGGCGGCGCGATATTTTCTCGGGCAGACGGCACCGTTTAAACTCCGGATCGAAGTCGACAACAGCGAGGGTCACAAAGCTCTCATAGGATACTTCTTGTCTGAAGGATATCGTTGTATATTTACGACAGTATACACAGTTGTGCAGGTTCGTGTTACCAACCTATGCGACATATGATGCTGACTCTGTAGGTGTATGTTTTTACAAGAAAAGATGGACGGGTCATTCAAATTGATCAATTGTACGGATACCCGAGCAAGACGAACATTATTCCCCATTTAATGGAGAAGGTGTATTCGACCTTTCCCCAAGGATATCATATTGCATGGGACCATGCGGCAATGTATAATCCATATGGTGACTACTCATATGAAACATGGGCAGTGTACGAACTGGTTGAACCTCATATTTGCAAAGATGGCAAATGCTCACACAGCATTGTCTACTCGGAAGAGCAAGAAATGGATGACGCCGAAAGTGGAAGTGAGGAAAGTCAATGCAAAACATATAGTGTATGGCTCTCTCGGTACAACCAGGAGTTGTTGGATGAGGTGACGCAAAACGAACTGCCGCATTTTATTTCGGAGATGGTTGCGTTCTATTATGCATTACAAACCGTTATGGTTGATGATGAGTCATGTTGCCAATTTCCAGAATGGCTTTAAGGGCATAGAAAGGTATATGCTTAAGTATCCGCAGCGCATTTTCCATTAGGCCAACCAGGCTTATTACATTTATTGCAACTTTAGAAGTGGATCCTGTCACTTACAAGTACTTAAGTCTACAGGTACAATGTACGGTGTGCCTGTAGAGAATCAGGGAGAAATACAGCATACAACAAATAGCGTTGTCCACTCTGCATCATCCTGAAGTCGTACTCAGCGCGGAGTGACAAGCTATTGTTTAATCTCTTCAGTACACTAGAGCATTTGACCGTACGGTCGGGAGAGGAGATGGTGTTTCTTAAGCAAAAAATCATTGGATATTATACTAGCGTATCTCATTAAAAGCTCAAATTGAACTCAAGACGATGTTTCTAAGCAGAAACAGGAGTAATCTTGGTACTCTCCTTCAAGTCACGGCTGCTGAATCCAACACGAAGAGTGAATTCGCCCTCAGGGATGAGCCATTGCTGAGAAACGATATCCCAGTAGCTGAGATCACGACGCATGAGCTCAAAGCCAACAGTGCGAGACTCACCAGGAGCAAGCGAGACCTTCTCGAAGCCGCGCAACTGCTTGGGTGGTGTTCCTTCGGGAGTGCTGTCTGGGAATGTAACGTATAACTGAGGGACAGTTGCACCCTTGACATCACCAGAGTTGGCAACGGAGACGGTCACATTGTAGAGAGTCTCCCACAAGGCGGGGTTACCACCTGGCTGAATGGGCTGATTCTCCGGGATGGAAGAGACGGAATCAGCAACAAGCTCGGTCTTGATGTCGGAGACGTTGAATGTGGTGTATGAGAGACCGAAGCCGAATTCGTACTGAACGGAGAGGTTCTTGGCATCGAAGTAGCGGTAGTCAATCTCAAGCTTCTCGTCGAACCACGACTGCCAGTCGTCTGTGCCGTTGGTGGACACTTCGGTGGTAGGAGGGGCGTTGTAATCGCTGGCGTTCTTTGCGATGGTGTAGGGCAAGTGACCGGCAGGGTTGACGTCACCGTAGAGGATGTCTACAATGGAGTTTCCAGCTTCCTGGCCAGGGTAGTGGGCAGCGAGGATGGCAGTAACATTGGGGTGGCTGGCCCAGGGGAGCACATTGATTCCGGAAGAATGAGTGATGACGATGGTGTTGTTGCAGGACTTCGCGACTGACTCCACAACTTCATTGCCGTTGTAGTCGACAGTCAAGTGCTCGCGATCAGCGCCCTCTTCAGCCCAAGTCTTCAGGAAAACAAGACAGGCATCGGGAGTAGCAGGGACCCAGAGGTCAGTAACGTTCTTGGTTGCAATCTGGGTGTTGTTCAAGAAGTATTGAACCAGAGCATTATCCTCCTTGGCGCGAGTCTTGATAGCCTCCAGCGGGGACACGAGGTATGTGAAGCGACCGGTTCCTGATCCGCCACCTGCAGCGAGATTGCCAAATTCGAATGTAGCATCGTTGACCGCACCCATGGTGTTCTCGCCGGCGTCGTTACCAAAGATAGCAATATTCTTGGGTGCCTTCAAGGGCAGAGCCTGCTTCTCATTCTTAAGCAGAACGGTAGCCTCAGCTGCGAGCTTGCGGATGCTTTCGGCGTGGTTTCCACGCACATCACGGCTGCGCTCCCCGGTGAGATTGAACTCGCGCAACCAGGTGGATCGGGGTGAGAAGGTGTTGAGGTCGGCAGAGGAAGGGTCAACCTCAGGGTAGTCCTTGTCCTGACCAAGCCAGTAGTAAGGGGTCATAATGCGAACGATCATATCGTTCACACGAGATTCGTCCACAGTTCCGTTGTTGACAGCGTAGGTCACGTTCTTGCCGAAGAAAGATCCAGCCTCGGGTGTCTTACCGTAGGCACCAAGACCACCGGGCATGTTCATATCAAGGCCACCCTCGATGGAGGCGACACCGGAGTGAGTACCACCCCAGTCAGACATCACGTATCCCTGGAAGCCAAGTTCTTCCTTCAGAAGACCGTTAAGAGCCTTGGAGTTTTCGCAAGCATACGATCCATTGAGACGCTGGTATGCGCACATGAAGCTGGCTGCATGAGCACGAACAGCATTAGCAAAAGGCCAGAGGTAAAGTTCGTGCATAGTGCGGTCATCAATGTTGGAGGAGAGAGCCTCTTGTATGACATCAGTGACGGTGCCGTTGGAATCGTATGTAGGGTTTCTCTGAGTCTCCTGCTCGTTTCCGATGAAGTGTTTAGCAGTTGCTTGCACACCGGCATCCTGGTGACCGCGGATGGTTCGCTCCATGGCCACACCGGTCAGGTATGGGTCGGCAGCAAAGCCTTCCCAGTTTCGGCCAGCGTACGCGGAGCGGCCCAGGGGACCAGCGACAGGGCTCAAGGCAATGTGAGCACCCTTAGCCTTGAACTCTTGTCCCATAGCATAACCTCTCTGGTACAGGAGATCCCTGTCCCAGGTGGATGCCACGGTGACACCAGCAGCAAAGACGCTGGCGTAGTCGGCAACACGAATGGCAAGGGGGCCATCTTGCAAGCAAAGACCGGGGAAACCGAGTCTAGGAATTGCAACAATGTTTCCGACACAGGGACCCGGCTGACCAGTGACCATATCGGCTTTTTCGTCGATTGTCAGTTGGGCAACGAACTTCTGGGCTTTAGCGTAGGCATCTTCCCATTCCCCCGAGGCAGTGGCGTTGGCTTCAAAGATTGTTAGAAACAATCGAAAGAATCAGGCAGTGAGATCGCAACTTACGTGAGGGCAGGACAGCGGGAGAGTGTCCATAAGGACCGAGAATGGTTGTGTTCTTGGGCTGAACGTAACTGAAAGCATCTTCAGCTCGACCACTTCCAGCAAAATCTTGACCGTTGGCCAATGTGGCTGCCAATAGGCCTGAAACCACAAACTCAGCGATGCGAGGCATTTTCTTGGAAGTTGCTCGTGATGTTGCACGATCACCACCACGGGATGCTCGGGGGTTCTTATAGTCCGTAACTTTTTGACCCGGAATCGGCAACTTCAACCACACCCAGCAACAACGACCCAGCGGCCAACCCCATCTCATCAAACAGAGTTGGACGTGGGGTAACAGCCATGGAAACGCCGGGGTTCTACCGGTGAAAGGAGCAAGCGATCCATGGTTGTGACTTGCCGGAGTTCTGCCGAAAAGTCTTGGCGTTGGCGTGGGGACCCCACACTTTCCTCTTTCTGGGGAAATCTCCTCATCCCTGCACACCGTGCAGCAACAACTTATGACGTTCCTAGCACTAGTTGGATATTCCCCTGCAGTGCCCTGACCTTGGATACCTCGCTAATTATTTCCCCCTCGACGCACCGGATGGCGCGGGGGTTTAGACCTTGGCAACGCGAGACATTTACACAACGATCATCGCCTTGGCGACTACACTTGGCTAGCGGGTATCCCGCTCAGTGGCTTTATCGGCGACGGCTAGCCGGCTTTCCAACCATATTGTGTCCCGCACCACCGGCCTTCCCCCGGATGCTTGGTAAACTTCGGTCCTAGTCCGGTCGGGGCCCCGCGACGATGTCACCATGTGGTCTTCACGTTTTGACACTAGCGCTTGGCATCGCTCAACACTTACTGGATGACGTCCTGCGGGGATTCGAATCATCATTGCCGGTGTATGGGCGGCAAATTGTGGCTTGTACCAGTACCGGTGTAACCTACGTTGCACTTCGGGATTTGGGCGATGGCTATCGACCCACTGCTGGCTTCAGGCCCGAAAAATTCTCCGACTTGATGACTTGTATGGACGCGGAGACTTTTATGCCGACAGCTGACAAAACGCCGTGTTCTGAATCGGCTTCTTACGCCTAATCCCGGTATTCCGTCGAGTAATGCTCACACATCACCCCACCGGGTACCTGACTCACGGGTTTTCTTCGGATGGCGCTGGTGCATCGACCATGAGAGGGGTAGCAAAATTGCTAATCATATGGAAAGCAAAGTGGGATCAAGCGTGCATGGCTGTGGCACCTGCAATATTTGCCGATATCGCACAGCAGTCCACGTTTCACGGGTCAACCGCCGAGGCGGAGATTTCGGCGGCTTCCGTTGTTGACATGACGCCAAGTAAGTGTATACATCCCACGTACGGAGTATTATGTCTCCTCTTGGTGCATTTGTTACTCCAAGATACAGGCTAGGCACATGTCTCAGTTTCCTCTGGCCGTGGGGTAGTTGAGGGACGCTGGATAAGGTCATTCAAATTTGGACTACCTTGATTAAATGAGGTTACTCACACATGAACATACCGTGGGATTTCCATGTCTAGGTAAGGACTCCCATGGCTATCGAAATTTGGGATGCCATTGGATAAAAATTCCAGTGGAGCCCACGGAATGAAGACTGAGGTAAGGACAGACGGGCTGTAAACTAACTATCCCGCTTGTACACTTCTTAAGTGGAGCAAATCATTTTGCAATAAAACTTTGGACCCCATGACCCGCTCGAGTGAAGGGAAAGAGTTAGATTCAATGATAACGCAAATTCGACAGGTACACGCTGGTGATGGTTTTTACTGCAATATTGGCCACTGCATTATCCCCCCGAAGCCCGCCGTCCGCAAAGCTCCCAGTTTCATTACTATTTTCTGGTCTGTGGATGGAAATTTTCGGTCATACTGTCGAAAGCCCTCAGTTCGGCTTTTTGAACAACGGTGCAAGTGTTGGCAAACACGCAGAAAACATTCCAACCGAGATTTCGATAAACGACCAAATCCCACTAAAAACGACATTCCCTTGGGAGATCAGTACATCTCAATGAGGTAATGACATGATGGCCTATTACTCACAGCTTGGGTCCCCATATTTTGTTTTGAAAATAACAGCACACCGAACAATACCAAAAACGCAGACACTGTACTTGTCAATCATCGCACACATATATCTGGCTGCTTGGAAACACATACACTGCTCCAGAGAGGAACACACAAAGTACTTGGAGCTTGCGTTTTGTCCTCATGTTCAACCCCATAACCGGTTTGATCGGTAATGCTAAGATAGCAACATCTGTTACAACATTGACGACACTATTCAAAGCTTTGAATAAGCATAACATAACCATTAATGTAAGGGCAGCAGTTTCAATTTCACCTACCCAAGAAGCTGGAATGGAATCCCTTTTTTGATACATCTTCCTGGTTTTCCTGTCCATATGGACGACAAAGGAATGCATTGAAGAGACACAACAAGAATGGAGGTCAGTGTATAGAGAATGACGACAATTCCCATGGCACAAGAGAGCACAAAAAGCCAATGCAACTTGAAGATTCGATGATAAAAGAGAAGGATTGATATCTTTGTGAACATCAGGGTAGTTGAGTAGCAAATCACCGATGCAACGTATTCCTGTTCTCACCAGTCAGCCTGTAAACAACATTTCTTTGAAAGCGATATACCTTCATGAATGATTTGAAGCTTTTGAGGAACATGACATGTCGGCCTTCGCCATTATCAATCGCCATTGAGATTATCACTATATAGGCGATCAGAGAAACCTAGTTTGAAATCAGCACAACTTCATTGTAATGGCAGATACACACACAGTAGCTAGGAATATCATCCAATCATCAGCGCCGAATGGATTCTTTGCACGGATTCGGGATGCTATACGTGCAATTACTGCACTTAATGCTAGAGTGAGCCCGCAAACATAGGCGGCAATTTCGTTTGGCCGTCGATCATCACTTGCTTGGCTCATGGAATATTGAGATTAGTCACGCTGAAGGTTGTCTGAGTTGTAAAATCTGTCTGATGGGCAATCTGAAAGATTCCCAACACAACGAATCTCAGAGTCAAGATCAAGCAGACCCTCATTTCAGCCTCCTGGATGAACCAGCATTTCAGCATTCAGGGATTTGCACCAATCGGAGATGTCGTATATGGATTTTAGTGATACAGCTTTTCAGTGCAACACTGAATGTCAAAGGCAGGAGATATCTGGTCCTTTCGTCAGGGTTCAGCATCAAACTTTTGTCGGTCTTGTGTGACCTTCTACCTCTCACGCTCTGGGCCTCGGTCGATCTTGAGATAGAAAAGCGAGCTACCCAAGTGCGATGACTTTTGCGAGTGATCAAAGCCTTGAACTCCGTAGCTCCGCGGAGATTGGCCTGGAAAGCAGTCAAATGTACAATAATGCCAGCTCATCCCAGGTACTTAGGTAATACAGCTTTCAAATGATTTCAAGTTGATACGTAATGTGAACCGATCCTCGTGTGACCACATAGGCCCTTGAATCTTTCCCTAGGGGGGAGATCTTCAATACTTACATCTATTGGAAGTGGGAATGAGGATAATCACTGGAATTGATATACATCAAACCAACAAACTCTACCTACCTTTCAGTCATTACTTGACTTTGCATAATGGCCCAAACAACGTCCCCCCGGTTACCTCTTCCCAACCCTCATTCCCTACACATCGCCAGCACCAGAACACATCATCAGGGTCATATTTGCGTTTGACCGACAGCAGCCAATCATACTCATCCCCAAACCAGTCCTTTCTCCATTCTGGATCCCAAGAATCAGCTTCGTTGACATAGGTTCCCATCCCTGGAGCCAACTCCTTCATGGCAGCGAGCTTTGTCGTTGTGAGCTGATTCTTGGCTTTGTTTATCTCGGCCGATCCGGCATTGGCAACCAAGAAGTCAACCTGTTGAAGCAAAAGATATGCTTTTCTCCAAGCGGAATTGACAGATGTATGTGGTGAGTTTTCGAGGACCTTTCCACCAGAAACGATGTTCATAATCATAAAGGATCCATTTGTGAGGCGGGAACCACTGGTGAGGTGGGAACCACTAGTGCTGAGAATGTGGACAAGCTCTGTGAGATTCTCTTGCCTTGACACCAGAGACTTCTTTTCGAAGAGTCGAGATGCCATCATTGGTTGATTGGCTCCTGGTGTTGTGTGAGGCACCGCCCCATACCATTCGTGCCATGAACGGTAGGTTTGCCATTGGGAGTCAACATGGTATTTAGTACCATTTCCAGGAAGGAGTTCGTTGATTATCTCCCGATTCATGACTTTTTTGGCATGAGCGATAGCTCCGGGCGAATCATCGGTAAGAAACTTAATGAAAGGAGCGTTGTAAACCCAAACGCCATCTACCTTGCCCATTAGAGATGTTCCAGCGAAACCTTCTTCGACGATAGCGGGGAATTTTGAGATCATGCGCGCGGTCGCATTCAGCACTGATCCGGAGTCATTCTTTAGTCCAGTAATGGTAAGGCTATTGTAGAGGGTCGGACGCGTAGGGTAGGTTTTGATAGTTGCCGATACCACAACACCGTAGGTCCCTCCCCCACCACCGCGTAGGGCAGTAAATAGATCATTGTTTTGACATGAATTTGCGGTTACAATTTTTTCCGAAGCAAGAACAACTTGGTACTCCAGAACCTGGTCTGTTGCCAGTCCAAATTCGTGACTTAACGAGCCATGGCCACCTCCTTGGAGGTAACCGCCAATGCAGCCGACAGTCTGTCCAAATTTCAGTTCCTCTCCAACATATTGATCTTTTTCAATCGTTCTTGGATTCTGAAGATACTCACAGGATCAGCGCCACCAACAACAACATGACCTCTTTTTGCTGCAAAGTCATATACATCCTGCCACACATATCCGCCTCCGATACTTATCGCGCTTCCATTCCAATTTGTCTCGCAAGACCCATTAGAGGGAGAAAATACCTTGTGGAATTCCAGTCCAGATCGTAAGTTTCTCAGCCAGATCGAAAGACTGCCATATCCTTGAGATCTGCCAACATTCCCGCCGTCAGTCACAACACGGCACCGCTTTCAGAAGTGCACATCCTTACCGCAGTGAAATGTCATGTCCAGTGTTCTTTATAACCAGTCGAATATTATTCGCCTTCGCGAATTTAATCCCCGTCGCAACATCTTGACGTCGTGTAGCATCGATGCTATATACTGGTGAATTTCCTAGCTCGCAGGATGGATAGGCCGGGATGGAGGCATTGATTGGAGGACAAGTATCAATCAAGGGATAACTGTATCCAATGGGTGATTCTGCAATCCAGTACTCATCTGTCCAGTTTGCGGCAATTCTGCGGCACTTGGACTCGCTGTAGCCTGGACCAGGGTAGCATGCTTTTGCAAGAGGCTCATTTTGGATAAGCCTCCCTGCCACGGTGTTGTTAAGAGCATTCCATCTAGAGGCCGAGGGCCAACAATCATCCTCGGGAGTCTATTCAATTTGACATTTCCAGGTTAGTCTGTTGTATAGATGTGAATTGTTGACTTTAGGAGCATTTATCGTCAGTTTGAGATTGGATTGACATACACATCTGCATTTCGCAAAAGCGTTATGAGCCGCGGCAAAAAGAAGGAGGAATTGAAAAAACGGCCCCATTTTCCAGTGTACTTCTCAACTTTAGAACTTGAGTACTGAGTGGACTCTTGTAAACAGCAGACTATCGACTCGTAAATTCGAGGGTTTATATATGCCCGTCTAGGCATCTGCGTTCATCTCGCAAAAACCTCCAGGGCTGTGCTTGGGTCTTGGCCAATTCATATCCTTTGATCGGAAATCGAATGGATGCCCAGGTGATCAGCTCATGCAAGTGCGTAGAATCAGAACCCATGAATACTCCTTGGCATATGGGGATGATCAAACACACAGCCTTGGCATTTTGGTCTTTCCTGAAGTCCGAAAGCCTTAGCTCTCGATAGCTAACAGGCTTTGGCATATGGAATTTCAAAGTTTTGTGTATTTCCAAGTTGACGAGATGATCCACAATCCTTGGTTCTGTTTTGAATTTCCAAATTTTAAAAAATCTTTGAATTGCTTCCAGAAACACCATGTGGGTGAAGTTCAACTTTAGAAATTAAAAAGTCCAAGCCCTCGAGTTTGATCTCCGGTATGGATGCCGATCCATACTCTTTCGGGTATGTAAGATAGCCAAGACGCTATGAAATCAAATGGCCTGACCGTTGACTCCAAGGCTTTCTTATGCTACTTCTATCCTGGAAATTTAGAACTCCTAAACACGTTTGTGGCGTTTTAATCGGATTTGTAGCCTTGGAATAATCTGAAATAAATTCCCGGCCTTTAGTAAGTATGAGTGCGGCGGTCGGGTGAGAACTTGGCTTAGAATATGTATCTGCACATGCAATCAAAACACCACTCGAACATGACCTCCATTGGAAGGACCATGGAGCTTGGGAGTTGGAATGCTACTTGATTAGAAGTATCTGGCTCTAGAGAGACTAGAAGTCCCAACGAGAATATACTCAACATTTTCAGTGGAGTTGGACCTCGGAAGAAACCGAAAAAATAGAGGTGATTACATTATCGGCAGATTGATAATGTAATCCAAAATTTGACCCGGAATTTTCAACTTTTCCCTTTCCCAGTGGCGTCCATATCAACGAGAAGAAATCTACTGATTGCTTCGAATTCATTTCATGTACGGAGTAGCCGGGAGGTAATATGCCCCAAGCAAAGTCGACACCAGCTAGAGCGTCTGCGCGAAAGCGGCCGACCAGCCAAGGGCGGCCTAGACTCGATGCTCCCGCCGCTAAATTATCCGAGGTATGTCATTCCTCGCGCTAGTTGACAATTTCTATACATAGATGCCAGCTCGCGATATACATGGGTTAACCAAACAGCTGACATCCACGTAGGATCGGCGAAATCAAATCCGCCGTGCCCAGAAAACTTATAGACTGAAAAAAGAAGCCTGCATCCAGGAATCCCAGCAGCGTGTCACCGAGCTGGAGCATAAACTCGCACGGGTTGAAGAGTCTCTTAAAGAGTACCGATATATGCTACAACGTGATTTAGGTGACACACACCCAGAACTTCTGAAAGGTTGTGACCGGATAGTCGAACTTTTGGCCACTTCGCCAGAGAATCGGCACCAAAACTCATCTCATGAATCATCCGGCGATACCCCAAGCGATAGGTTGTCATCCGTCGAGACAACCATCAACAACCAGGCCATCCCAAAATATCCTTCAACGCGGGAACCGTCTGCGACAGCAGAAGGACAATTAGGAATACGCGATCTTACCGAGCCGGAAATAAACAATGAACTAACAAAATCTATATCCGAATCAATCCATCGATCTCTCGGATGCACCCTGAATTACTCATACTCATCTTTGGAAAGTTCATTCACACGGAGAGTCAAGCGATCCAGCCTCGAACACGCTTTCCAGATATTCAGTGACCCACATTCCAACCCACATGAAGTATTTCGACTCTTCAGACTTGTTCCATGTTTCCGAGATAGAGAAAAGATGTACCCATACTTCAGGGACTTGGTCACGTCGGATCGAGATCATTCATTGGAGATTTCCGCTTTGCCTTTTTATAATATAGGCGGTGCTGGGACGCACTACCCCAATACGAACAGCGATGGAGCCCCTGTTTATCCCCGAAATACGAGGATCCCTCGACGCATACTAGGAATTATTCCTAATGGGGATGCAGGAGACCAGACTACACATACGGACGAGTCTCGGCACAATCAGCTCCAACTCTGTGGGTTTGGAGGGGAATGGTTTGATTGTCGAGATGTCGAGGGTTATCTGAGACAGAAGGGTGTTCAAATTGATGAATCTTGCATCTTTCCTACTGTAAAACAGGCTCAAAATGGTAAGTCGGTCTTGACCACACAGTGGGCAATGAACTGATTCATGCAGATGTGACGCGTTCTGAAGACCCGGAGAATTGTGTTCTCGATCTAGAGGGTTTCATTGAAGGTGAGAGATTTGAATGAAATGTTAACAGGATTAGTTCTAACAGAATCTAGGACTTCGGTTCGGCTTAGCTATACTGGGGCGAGCTCCTGGATTTCGCCGATCAGACGTTGAAGCCGCTTTCGAGGCAGCGCTGAAACATCGCAAGTAGTATTTCATAATCAAATCATAATAATTTTCACATTGCAAAGAAGTACTCGAGATCAATATGTGTTTGTTCCAAGGTTGAATGGGCGTTAGGGCGAGATTACATTATCAAATAGCCTTCCAAGGTTGGATGTTGGATTGAAAATCCCGAGGCCCAACCCTTCGCTTTCATTTTCAACAAGTGCACCTGGAAATATTTGTTGAGTCTCGAGAATTTACCTGTCTCTAAAATTATAAAGTCAACCTCGGCACCGGATGTGAAGTCAACGGTTTCATATTAAAAACCTGTGGTCCTGGTAGTCTTCCACTTTTAAACTGTCTTCATCCGCCGCTCTATCGACTCGTTTCGGAGGAAATATTCCCTTGATTGTGCCCAAAGGAACTCCTTTCAGAAACTCCAGAACCAGAACGAACTTTGCTCACTAGGCGAAATGCTTGATACCAGCAGCGCCATGTGGAAACCAAGCGTCAATCATATTTCGATTGCCGTGGCAGTGTTCATAGGATACCTGATCCTCGTCAGAAGATTGCGCTACAAGCGCATGGTCGAGATCCAAGCCCCGTTTGCGCACGGAAGGGAACTGTCGACCATGACGACTGAGGATGCGTATGGGATTATTTCTCGGTTGCAGGAACTTGAATTTCCGTATGCGTTTGGGAAAGCTAGGAAGATTGCTTTGTTGAAGGTACAGTGATACTAGATCGGTCGGAATCATAGCAAGGAATTCATTTGACTGATTCGCGTCTTGGACTCTAGGCTGGGGCAATCCCTACCATGTCCAAACTCTTTGCAGTCACGGGACAGAACAATAAGCGGAATTCTGGGAAGCGTGCAGTGGATACGGAGATTCTTCTCAGAGAGGCACAATCCAAGCCCCGAGATTCTGATCGGTACATGCGTGCCGTGGCGAGGATGAATTACCTGTGAGTACTCACTTGCTCCTGCGTGGCTTGTCCGGGGGCAAAACTTGTTTATATGATCGGCGGAGAAAGTTAACGATCTGCTATTAGCCATGCTCGATATCGCAAAGCGAATAAAATAACCGACGACGATCTTCTTCACACCCTCGGCGATGGGCTTTTCGAAATCGTCAACGTTATCAGCAGAGAAGAATGGCGGGAGCTGACTGATGTCGAGACCTGTGCTTTGGGAGTCTTCCACAAGAACCTAGGTGAAGACATGGGTATTCCTTTTGACAATCTTCCCTCCTGCAAGGAAGGGTGGACAAATGGGTCGCATTTCGCAGCCGAGCTGCAAGACTGGACTTTGCGATATGAGAAGGAAGTGGCTAAACCTACCGCGACAAATGATCAATATGTCCGAGTCTATGTTGACTCTGCCCTGTCATCATTCCCTGGATTTGCACTAGCCGCCGTGCGCCAAATGCTGGGAGCCTCCCTGGACGATGTCATGAGATTAAGTCTCCAGTAAGTCACACCAACAGCTGCTCGCCAAGACCCTAACCTCTCCAGACTTGAATCTCCCGGTCCGATCTTCTCAGCTTTGCTCGTTTCACTCCAGGAACTGCGGAAACTGTTCCTGCGACATCTGGCACTTCCCCGAGTCGGCGCAGTCAAGCCCGTGAATGAGACGCCCAATTCAACCGGCCTTTACAGCTTCGGAAGAAAGACTCTCCAACCGTGGTATATGGAGCCCACCTTCCTATCCAGCTGGGGACCCGGGGCGATGCTCGTTCGAGCTTTGGGCGGTAAGGTGCCTGGTTCACGGGGAGATCGCTATCATCCACAGGGGTATGACCTGATGACCATTGGACCAGAACCGCAGAAAGAGAAGGGAGCCGACGAGATGGTGTCTGATATGGAGATCATCCGGGCCCGGACGATGACGTCATGTCCCTTCTCGCAGGCCAAAAATGGCTTCATGCAGCAGTCCGTGCTTTCAGACCAGGAATAGACAGCCATTCTTTGTTTTTGGTTGTGAGTCTGTTCAGCAGGGAATACCTTGAGTCGTCGAATAAGTTTGTCTCATTTTATGCCAGAATTGGCACGCGGTATTGAGCTGCTCTGGGATTGGGTAGAATCCACGTCAATCGGTTCTGTTATTCCAATGTTAGGGAGAACGCTGGGAAGCTTTGGCCTTAGGAATGCCTAGGGATAAGCACATCATTTGCATTGTTGTTGTTGCCGCTTATCCGACACCCGACCCGCAACCCTCCGAGACCCCCGGGTTACCGGGAGGGTCGTGCGGCTCCAAGGTTGCCATGACTGAGGTTTCTGAAGTTTCTGAAGTTTCTGAAGTATGCGCCTTGGTAGGAAGGTTTGTCAAATCAATAAGAGCAGTGGTGAAACATCGCATCCCTGGCTACAGAGTACTCCGAAGTCAATGTGTCCCGAGGTGGGTTTCCAACAGATATACGAGTACTCGTTTGGTGATCTCGTTTAATCGAAATTTCACTTAGGAAAAAAGAAGAAGAAAGGAAGTGAAGCATTTGACTGTATATTCGATGTGTACTCCGTACTCCGTAGAATAATCGACAGCTCGCAGTGTTTGATAGACCGAATCGGGAATAGTTCTGGAATTTTGACCGAAAATGGACGCGGTGTTTCCAAGGTTGTGCTCCCGTTGTCCCGAATCACTCCGATATCAAAGCACCGGCCTCGTCGGTGTGGAAAATGGTCGACACGATGGCTGCAGTGGAAGAAGCAGAATGATGGCAGCATAGTCAATATGCGTGGCCAACATCACTCTGTATCGATGAAATTCTTTCACTGAAGCCGATGGACAATGAAGTCGCAAATTATGCAGTGGAGAAAAAAAACCACCCGTGGACTCCCTAGTGGACACGACGAACGTATAAGAAATGGCCCTGGCAGCCACACGTGACTGCACATGACGAGCCGGTAGGGATGAATTCCTTGGCAAAGACCGGCCCCCCTGGGAAAGTCGCTCTCAAATTTTTACTCTTCAATTATTATTCTTCCCACTCCACTCTTCCCTTCATCACCGTCGCAATGTCTACTCCTACCACCGCACAGGGCCCCCAGGGCCTCGACCTCATCGCCCGTTTCGCCTTCGCCGGTGCTGTCTGCTGCTCCGTCACCCACGGTGCCTTCACTCCCGTCGATGTGTAAGTTCCGAGCTCATCCAAGCTGGTATGCCCGAGTACTGACAATGCCACAGCGTCAAGACCAAGATCCAGCTGGACCCTTCCACCTACAACAAGGGCATGTTCAGCGCCTTCGGCCAGGTTGTTAAGAACGAGGGTGCTGGTGCTCTCTTGACCGGTGCTGGTCCTACCTTCGCTGGTTACTTCGCCCAGGGTGCCTTCAAGTTCGGAGGTTACGAGTTCTTCAAGGCCCAGGCCGTCAAGAGCGTTGGTATGGAGAAGGCCCGCGAGAACCGCGCTGCCATCTACTCCGTCTCTGCCGCCGCTGCCGAGTTCTTCGCTTCCATTGCCCTCTGCCCTCTCGAGGCTACCCGTATTCGTCTCGTCTCCACCCCTGGCTTCGCCAACGGTCTCATCGGTGGTTTCGGTAAGATCCTCAAGAACGAGGGTGTTGGTGCCTTCTACGGTGGTTTCGGACCTATCCTCCTCAAGCAGTAAGTTATCCCGAAAAGCGATTCCGAAGAGCATATCCGTGGATCGGCAAAGTATCAGAACCAGACCCAAACTAACACGATAACAGGGTCCCCTACACCGTCACCAAGTTCGTCGCCTTCGAGAAGTTCTCCGAGGTGATCTTCGCCCAGTTCGACAAGTCTAAGATGTCCGACGGTGCCCAGACCACCGTCAACCTCGGAGCTGGTCTCCTTGCCGGTTTCGCTGCTGCCATTGTCTCCCAGCCCGCTGACACCATGCTGTCCAAGATCAACAAGACCAAGGCTGCCGCTGGTGAGGGTACCGTTTCCCGTCTCGTCAAGATCGCTGGTGAGCTCGGTGTCCGTGGTGCCTTCGCTGGTCTCCCCACCCGTCTCGTCATGGTCGGTGGTATCACCGCTGGTCAGTTCGCCATCTACGGTGACATCAAGAAGGCTCTTGGTGCCACCAACGGCACTGAGATCTCTAAATAAGCGTCTCGTTGATATTGCAACATTTCGCGCGGTTTAGATGGAGGGAAAAAGGTTCTCGTATAGAGATGGACGTACTGATCTACGGCCTTGTTTTAAGTTGAGTTGGAGATGGTCCCTTTGTTTATTTCGATTCCCCCAAGATGTGCCCTCCTTCTCGACTTTAGTGTATAATCGCATTGGGCCGACATAAGATGCCAGACACTCTGGCGGGCGTTATCATGTTTCGGCGACCACAATAGATTCTGTATTCTAGCCTCTGCCATTTTCTTTCCCATACAATTGATGACTGGTCCTGGGTTCTACTTCTTTTTCCTTGCACGCTCGGGTAATACGAATAGGCAAACGGTTGCATTAAGTGTTCTTGTGTATCAGCATTCTATCGATGAACCATTCCCAGTTTTCAGTTCGATGACTCGAAAACTCGAGTCAAAACAGCTCATCATAATCTATCACCACACGTCCAATCGTCCATCGCTTCTCCCTGGTAGTCCGACTACATCGGACGCCCACCATTCCGATACTGCCACAATCTACTAACATCCCTTGTCCTCAACTGACAAGGCGCCAGAGCCCGCGAAAAACCCACATCATCCTTCCACCCTCTACTCTCCTCCGGAAGCACCGGACTCAAATTGGAGACCTCCGCTTCATCACCCTTCTCACCCGTCGAGATCCGCAGTCCACCTTTGCCCCTCGCAGAAACCATATAATTCTCATAATGCCTCAAAGGCTCACCCCGTACACTCTGCCCCTCTATAAAAACCTTCAAATCCATAAAATCACCCTCTTCAGGCTCCCTCGCAAACCTCCTCGTCTCATCAAGCGGAAACATACTATCAAGATAATGTTGATTAAGCTGATGCCCTGATCTGGGATTAATAAAAACCTTCCCCATAAACCTATTCTTGAGCGGATGTACAGCCGCCAATTTCGTGAAATGGAGAACACCAAACCGACTGGCAAAATCATCACTATTAGCGTAATGTTCGATATGGGAGATAGCGCGGTTATGTCTTCTCCTGTGTTCCCCATTCTGCATAGCACCTTTGCTGTGGAAGACATCGCGGTAGGGATTGTTGAAGTGGTTTGCGATTATGCCAAAGGTGTAGATCTCCAGGTATTGGAGGAGGTCTTGGGGGACTTCGTTTAGGAGCCAGTCGACTATCATTCCGCCTTCTATTCCGCCTTGGGAATGGAGGATTAGAATGACTCTTTTCACGCCGGGTTGGTAGAGGGCTTTTTTCACGAGGATGTAGCATTCGCGTACGTCGGGTGTTGCGAAGAGGAGGGAGCGTTGGATTAGGCATTGGATTATGTCGAAGATCACTCCGGAGCTGGAGTTTGTTAGTTTTGAATGTGGGAGTTGTGTGGGTTACGCACGTTTTGTTGTGGACTCCGACGATGGGTCGGTGGAAAGTGCGGGAGAGGCGGTCGATGTTGTTTTGGAGCCAATTTTTTCTGTAGAACTTGTTAGCTGGATGTAGTGAATGTCAAGTGCAGAGCTTACCCGACGCAGATCCCGTTCAGGAATATCCAACGCTCATCGTCATGGCGTTCCCACTCTTGGGTATATTCGTCCTCGGTGGATTTGAGTCCGTCCTCTGGTATACCTCGATTGAGAAGTTGACATACCAGGTAGTTCAAGAAAAGAACTCCCACGATGTATGAAACAAAAAGAGAAACAGGCAGGTAAATCAAGATAGGCAATGAGATCAAGAAAGCAAGTTGAACGACAAAGAGAATCAAGTGAAGCGAGATATCGAAGATGTTCTTGAGAGACGGGTACTGCTCATCGAGAGGTCCAGACGGCCAAGGCGCCAAGGGAAAGAACATTAGAGGTAAATATAGAATATTGCGAAAGAAAAGCTTGATGTCGTATACGAACAGCTGCCGGGGTGATCCGGTGTACTGTGGTGCTTCCTCCAGGTTCTCGCCGACCTGTCGGGGGATCACTTGAGCGAATTGGGCAGACATTTGGACAGATTCAAGATGGTGCACAATTTCAAGTTAACACTGAGCTTTTGCCAAACTTGAATGTTCTCGTTTCATCAAAAGTGAGGACCACGCTGATTTATGTAGCCACATCATTATGACCAGCTGAAAAGCTGCACCTCGATTTCCAAGAATACGAGAGATAAATCCCCAGCAAGCCATGAGATAAATTGAAATCACAGGTGTGGCTTATGACAATTTATTTAGATGCGAAGGGTCAGCATTTGCTGCTTGGCGTCCGCCACGGCCACCAATGCGTCGAACATTTCAAATCGAGTTCCATGGCTATGAGGCCTTCGTGAAGAGATATTCTCTGTTTTCTGAAAGAAACTTAAATCAAGTGCTGCGATTTGATTGGAAAACCAAGAATTTTAGCCACTCATCCCGCTGGTTGTTCGAAATGACGGAATAGCCGAGCACCTCGTATAGTGACAAGTAATGCTTGGCACAAAGCTGAAAATAAAGAGCCTCCTAAGAGTTTCGTTAGAACAGTGATCTTGCTTATGTGATTCCATATATTGGGAAGAAAATCTTATCCAAGCCTCGCATGGTGGTGAACCTGGTGGGCATCCTGATTGACCACTCGGTGATCCCCGTGATCGATTCAGTGCTGGGCTGATGTTGAAAAACCGGGCTGTCTTCTCACAGCCTCTCTTCCCGTGCTTTTATCCACACGTTTCGCTCCGAGTCTTTGCTGAAAGACCCTCTTAGACCGGTGAGGCATCGCTGGCCGAATGGAACTGGGGCGCATGGTTGATCGCCGCACAAGCATCTTCGGAAATGGCGCTTTTGATTTCCATCTCTCGGGAGAAGATGTTCCATTTGCCGTGTATCAAGTGTCCCATCCGAGGTGAGGTTTTTCATCAAGCTTTTAAGGATATTGGCCACAGGGTATTTTGGCAAGTACTGGGGCTCAAGGTTCTCATTTACAGGATGCCAGCATTGAACACAGCTGATATAAGCCTGCTGGAGTATGAACCTCGATTCGGCGGGTCGGATAGGGTTAACCTGGGCCAAGGTAAGATTTTCTTCTCCACAAATGGACCACCGATCATCGAATTTCCATACGGAAGGGTGGTTTCATTCCCCACGTCGGCGATCGATTCCCAGGTAGAGGTTGTGTCATGAGGTGTCCACGTCGGAAAATACTTGTTGCCGCACTATGTCCCTGATGCCACACCGAAGCTGAATGAATTGAATAGTATGGAATAATGCTTCTGTGGGCGCGGTGATGACGAAGAGATCGACATGGAGCATGAAGTGATCGTTCTGGCTCTGCAAGCCAAGTATATCCTCATCAACATTGACAGATGAGAGGAAGAGAGGAAAAGGGTTTAAGTCGATTGGGGGATCAGAGGGCGACCTAGAATGAGCGATTGGGGATGGGTAGCTCAAGATTGAGGGAGACAGAGAGAGAATAAGTAAACAGAGCTGTCCATTCCCCTATCTCTCCCAACCCGACCTCCTTACACCTACTGACTACCTCACTTTAGCTGTAGGATCAATTGTTAATAGTATATTGGTCAATATCAATCCAGAGACGAGGGGTGGAAGAGGTACTTGTGCAATGGTGACAGCAGGGTGGCCAAAGTCATCAATAGCGATGGCGAATTCATTGCAAGCGAATGTCCAGATATCTCGCTGGTTGAAGGTGAGACAGAGTTCTCGGAGGGCGAGGTTTCCTGGAACAAGGTGTGAGCAAAATCATACAGACTCCAGAGCATGGAAGGGGATGTACCTTGTTCGGTGAGGCGGCATACACCCCAGGCCTGATCGCCCACAGTGTATTGATCGAATTTGACCTGAGTAAATGATAATTTGGGATTGCGGACGTGAAACTGACCGGCTGGGGCAGTCCGGTGTCCCACCACTCTGTCCATTCAAGGCTCAGGCCCCTGAATTGCTCCACGTTTCATGGTCATCCACAAAAGTGGCATCGGCGGATTTACAACGCGTTGCATTCTGTTTCACGAGCCCAAGATCAGCATTTTTGAACTAACAGATCATAGTGATGTTCAATCTCATACCTGACGATTAAAGTTCGTCCTGGAAATGGGGCAGAGCATTTCCTTGAACTTGGCGGTAGTCGATATCTTGATACTCAGAGCTCCCCTGAACTCTCTGTATCTTCCCCGAATGTTCCTGTCACCAGGCCCTCGTAGAAGAGCTTGACCGAGGTTTGCATAGAGCCCTCGATTGGCCTAGATAGCTCGGGTGATACCCAGAGGCCATGCCGAAAGAAAACGTGCTGGCGTAGGGTGCTACCAGATTTGTGAGGAAACTAAATGAAGCGAAGTAAGTAAGATTCTAACCAGGAAAGGGTTCCGAGCACTTACTCGTGCTTGTTTGCACTCGGGATGTCTGCAGAAGACTTCTCCCGGCCATATCTGGGCCTCATTTTCCGGGCTCTGTTGATGGACAGGATTAGTGAAGTTCAAGGATAAGAGGAGTTGCCCAATATACCAATTCGTATGGGGGCCATTCTAGCTCCCCTGCCCTGCCTTTCCGTAGGTACTCGCGGTATCGCGGATATTGGATGAGCCATGACTCGACTCTCATGGTTCAGTTGATAGTTAATAATAGGTAGAATAGGGAAAAAAGCTAATCAGTGGTCTGAGCGAAAAAGAAGATTGATGGGAAACGGAGATTGATGAGAGATGAAGTTCATGTGAAGTGAAGTTGAAGAAGGCAGGAAGAAAGTGAGAGCTCAAGGTCAGCTGAGAGCCAGCGATAGAGCATCTTTCCAGACCTCGGAACTTTCTAAAATTAAATGTTGAGGGACCCCATCAAATTCAAAGACTAATGAATTGATGTCAGGATGTGAACTGGTGTTTGCTTCCAAGTTTCTTCATATAATGTTTCCGTCCCTTCCTCTTTGAGATAAACTCCCTTTATATTGTCTACCGTCCAACACACTATTTGAACTAACAGATCATAGTGATGTTAAATCTCATATCTGGTGACGAGAGTTCCTCATGGAACTGGGCAGAACATTTCCTTGAACTCGGCGGTAGTAGATATCTTGATACCTAGAGCTCTTCGGAACTCTCTGTATTTTCCCTAGATCCCCCCCTCACTAAGCCCCCATAAAAAAGCTTTGTTGATATTTGCAATTGGCCCAGGTATCTCGCCTGGTAGAAGGCTGCCATGCCGATGGGCTTAGGCAGGCTTGGGGATATCACTAACCCGTGGCGGAAAAAGATACGTGCGTCGAAAGGCATTTTGTTTTGTGTAGGAACTGAGATGAATAATGTGAGTCTCAATCTGAATCAGAAAACGATAGCAAATACTTACTTGGCCAAAACGCAACCGGGTCTCTGCAGAATATCTCTCCCGGCCACATTTGAGCCTCGTTTCCGCACTCTTTGGATGGACAGAATCAGTCAGATCCAGGTATAATAGGTGTTTCATATACCAAACCGTATTGGGGCTACTTTAGCTCCCGATTTGCTTTTTCGGCGATATTCGCGGTACTGTGGACAGTTCGCCTGCCGGGATTCGACCTTCGTCGGTGAATGGTTAAACTGTGAGCCAGATTGAAGAATCTGGCTGAAGAAGTTGGAAATGCTCAAGGGTGGATGTTTGGAGAAATGGGGATCTGTTAGGGGGAAGAGTTATGGAAGCAGAGAGGGGGTGACAGCGTCGATTTCGCTCAACACGCTAGAGTCCACCTGAAGAGTGTCTTCCAGGCGGACTTCGCGCTGCAGGATCGGATCCCGAGAACAGGGCCTTGTCTATGGCAACAAAGCCCACATGGCAGTATACTTGGAGGTGTAGCTCTGGAAGGTCGTTTCGGTTGAAGTCTTGTGTGCTCAAATGGAGAAGACGTATTGTATTTCTATGAATACTATTCCGAAAAGGCCCTTCCCTGCTCTGAGGGTTTTTAGAGCTCGGAATAGCTCTCTGTGTCTGACTCATTCAACCGCCCGGTGACCAATCCGTCATAGAATAGAACCACATATGTCTGCATTGTATTATCGATTGGTTCGGGCAGGCTAGGAGAGAGTGCCAAGCCGTGTCGGAAAAAAAGGTGCTGGCGCAGTGCGCCGCTTGTCTTGTGTGGGAACTGAAGTAAATAAAGTGAGTCTAGATGCAGATTAGAGAAAGATTGCAGACACTTACTCTGGCTTGTGTGCAGTTCTCATATCTGCAAAAGACCTCCCCCGGCCAAATCCGAGCCTCACCGTCTGGGTTCTGTTCATGCAAACAATTAGTCCGAAGCCAATGATAAGAGAGAATGTCCAATATACCAGATCGTAGGGGGGCCCTTCGAGCTCCCCCCGCCGTCCTTTCTGGCGGTATTCGAGGCACTGTGGGCAGTTTGCTAGCCACGATTCGATCTTCATTGCAGCCTGGATAATCCTTGATGCAACAAGTAATTAGAAGCGGAGGATAAATCCTGGCTGCGAAGGATGTCTAACCTGGAGGTAGTTTTGGGCGATAGGAAAGAGATATTTGTAGAAGGTCAATGGATGATCTGTTAAGTTGAGGGTAGATGAAGTGGAAGAGATGTGAGAGGTGAGGTTGAATAGAGCAAAGAAGTGAGAGCTCAAGGTCAGCTGAGAGCCAGCTATAGAGCATATTTCCATGCCTCGGAACTTTTCAAGTTGAATGTTGATGAAGCCCATCAAAGTCAAAGACTGATGAAGTGATGTCAAGGTGTCAACTGGTGTTTGCGTTGAAGCTTCTTTATATGAGGCTTCCGTCCCTTCCTCTTTGAGATAGCCTCGGTTCATCTTGTCTACTGTCCAACACACTACTTCCAAGTCACATCGAAGATGATTTTTCACTGAAACTTGAACGCAATGTGCTTCTGGTATCCTGTACAAGATTCCAAATGATGGAACATGTTGGAAGTCAGGTCACGTGGTTCTCTCTTCTCTTCCCCCTCCTCACGCATCAAGAGATCTTCGCTCTGTGGTCTTTCTTGTCATAGATCCTATGTATCTCTCTCTCAGGTTCTGAAGCCCGTTGCAGAATAC